TTTCAAACACAAAAACCATGTTCTAAAAAAGCAGCCTTGGTGTGTTGAATGTGGAAACAAGGGGGACCAAGTCCTTGTTTTTTTTTTTTTTTTTTATTATTTTTTTTTTTTTACTGTGACAAAGATTTGTCTACTCAGTCTCTCAATGCTGTTGTCGTACTGTGTTTGTGTTGTGAGAGAAAAACCATGACAGCAGTTGGGAACGTGAATTTGTTAAGTGTGTGAGAGGAGTTGAGAGAGAAAGAGAGAACGAGAGAGAGAGAGAGAGAGAGAGAGAGAGAGAGAGAGAGAGAGAGAAAGAGAGAGAGAGAGAGGTTTGGGTGAGGTGAATGTTTGGCTGTGTGCTTATGATACTGTCTTTGCTCCTCTGTGCAACACGTGTACACTAGGCATTCATGTACCACGACCAGGCCGAGGGCAGAGAAGCTTACTTGCACTTTTGTGTCACTGGATGTGCATGCCAGTGTATTTATGTATGTCTGAGAGGAGAGAGAGGACGAGAGATCGGTGAGTGTGTGTGTCTGTGTGTGTATGTGTGTGTGTGTATGTGTATATGTACTGTAGGCCCAGACTGGGGGGGTTGGGGATTGGAGGGGGGCCATGCTCGGTGACTAGTGTGTGTCCAGCCAGTTCATCAGTCAGTCAATCAGTCGGTCCTCTCAGCTATCAGAGGGCCAGTTCCTATTCTTTAGCCTCCAGGAAGAGCGTCTCCTGTGGAAACAACTTGGCCTCCAGCAGAGTCGACCCTGGCTCCAACTGGGTGATCTGAGAAGAGACAAGGTGGGGGGGGGGGGCATTAGACTGTCACTGACCAAAGGGTTTGATGTTAGAACTTAATAGCTATGTACATTATCAATAAACCTGACATTTTTTTTTTTTTTAATTAACTGATTTAACATTGATATTATCATAATGAGAAATATCCATCACAATATCACAGATCACAAAAAGTCACCTTCAACTTGCTTGTTTAGTTTAACACTCCAACACACAAAGACAATAAATTTACAATGATATTAAGCAGAGAAAAATGTCATATTCTGACATTTTAGAAGATGCAACAAGTAAATGTTTTGGTTTGATAACTGATATTGACATATTAAAAATTTAATCAATTATTACATTTGTTGGTAAACAATATTCTGCCAATTGACTAACTAATTAAATCCACAAATTATTTCAGCAGCATTAAATGTTCCACTCTTTTTTGACCATGGATCGAAACCGAGCTGCTGTTTTCAACACATGCTCAACAAAATTGCTCAGCAAAGTTGATCGATTTGAAAACCATAGCAACAACTCTGGTGGACAAAGCATAACACAAAGACAGACAAGTTTTAAAGTGAGTTTAATCGTATTATCTAAACTATTTCAATTATATTTTCAGATTTGCTCCAGTTAGTGTGAACATGGCCCAGCGATCCAGCCTTTACTGCAGAGTTCAATGAATGTGTGTGTGTGTGTGTGTGTGTGTGTGTGTGTGTGTGTGTGTGTGTGTGTGTGTGTGTGTGTATTTATAAGAGAGTGTGTATGGTGTGTATTATTCTAACATGATGTTTAAAAAAAAACGTCTAGGCAGTAATCTGAGCAGCTAGAGCTTTGTTTCCCTAAGAGGACCATCAGGTTTGTTTTCATGGAAAGGCTCCAGTCCAGAACAAACTGATGAAGGTTACAGGACAGGAGAGAGAGTGTGTGTTATAAAAGTGTGTGTGTGTGTGTGTGTGTGTGTGTGTGTGTGTGTGTGTGTGAGAGAGAGAGAGAGAGAGAGTAGCAGGGATTGAGAGAACTGTGTGTGTTTTTGATGGCTAATAATGACTCATTTCAGCTGTGACAAAGGTCAAACAGGAACATAGCTGATGCCGCAGAGGAGAGAAACATTTATCTGTTTTCAATACTACAACAGCTATTGTCTAAAAGCAGAGGAATAATTCAGTACCACCCACAACGGAGCTGATCGAGTTAGCTGACACGAAGGGGGTCTGACCTGTGTTTTTTTTTTTTTTAAAACAGGACAATCTGACTCTCTTTCTGACACCCACCACCCCTGTGGGCCTCTTAGCTTATGTGAGCTAATCACCGGAGGGGTTGAGTTACATCGGGCCAATCTAACACCTGGGCTGAATGGGCGAGGTGGTGTGACACCGAGATGTGTCCAGGGCTTATCTGATGACTGCTGCGTCAGCCCCTCTGATTAAGGCTCCTATTCTAACCTCGCGGTGGGATAATTAACAGGCTCGCTGTACCTGCTGTAGAAGGTCGGAGGGCAAGCCGAGCGCAGCAAAGGTCGACCTCACAACAAGCAGACTGATCGTTCTGAGACAGACTATTGTAGGGAGAGAAACGTGAACTCTGACCATGAACCAAACCACCAGTTTCACCTACACTCACCTTGTGTAGTGCATTGATTTTGGTCATTTTTATTTTGTAACTTCTAAAGAAGAATGAAAATCCTACCTTCATCTGTACTTTGAACAACCTATACAAGATAATAAACATTGAGTCTATGTTAACTCCAGAAACACTTATTTTTGAGGCCGAAAACAGCGATAAAGAGTAAACACTCAAAATAATTAAAACAATCTACACATTTAAACTTGTGTTAACAACAACATCCGTAAAACTAGAAGGTGTTCAGGGACTCTGAGGAAAGGGTGAATGAGAGAAAAAAACAAGAAGGCAAGTAAATTAGGGAAAGGTGACATATCAGCATCAGACAACCTATCCATCTCCCAAGGGTGTTTGGAAATGTCACACCCATGTGCACTTTGACTACATGTCTTTCATCTCCATGTCCTCATTTCAACGTGTCATTTAGACGCTTGACTTCTCAGCGGGGTCCTGGGGAGCCCGGTGCGGGCAGGGAGGGGCTGCCACATCAACCTTATGCCCATCACCTAGTCAACTGCCTCATAGCACAGCGGGGAGCAGGACGACATGAAGAGAGGTAAAATAGTGTGCATGTTTTTATGAGTGTGTATGTGTGTGTGTGTGTGTTTGCCGCAAACATATTCCATCCCAATGGTGGGGAAAACGACCAACAGGGCTGCTGCGCTCCTTTTCCCACCTCAGGAGCAGCGCGTCGCAAATGGCTGCCATGCTAATGAACCCGACAGGCTGTTATGACACCACAGCATCAGGTAGGAGTAAATGAGGCTTTGGGGTGGAGCAGGTGTGTGTGTGTAGTCATGTGTCTGTGGACTACATATAAGCTTGTGTGTGGATGTGTGTGCTGTGAGTGAAATCGGGATGAGAGTTTGTGCTCGTGGTGCACCAGGGAGAGATAACGGGGGGAGAGCAGCATCTGACTCTGAAAAAGAAAGTAGGGAAACAAGATGCCACACTGACACAGGAGACGGGCGCCATCGGTGATTGTTTACATTGTTATCCAATTAACAGACCATAAGCATGGAGGCATCTGTCAACAAACAAAGCTGTTGTTTTTCCTCTGCTCTGCCTAAGCCATATTCTCTCCTCCTGTGCCTACACAGCCATGCATACATACATACATACATACATAAGACAGACACAATCTAGCTCTCTGCTTGCAGTTTGTTTTTAACCTTGAGTCAATATAATTTTCATCAGCCAATTTAGATCAAATCAATCAGCCGAATTAGGGAACTGTCTAACTCATTTAAAAGCTGAAATTAATTTCGAAAGATTTTCATCTGACTAAATAGTGTTTGTGGAAAAGAAAAGGTTTTCCAGTTGTTAATTAAAAATACATATATTAACAGAATAAAAACTGAAATGAACTCTGCCTGAAGCAAAATCTAAATACATAATACAATATCTGGAGGCTCAGCGATAAAAAGCCTAATTTTAAAACTGGAACCAATTAAAAAGACAGATGGTGCTTCTCGGCAGTCTTTGATATTTTATCTTTCTTTCCTTATGAAAAATTGCATGACATAAAATAATCAGCTAATATCAACCCCATGTATTTGGCATTATCGAAACAGCAGATTTCACCACTGTTAAAACCACATAATTAGCACTTAATGTGAAGTTTAAAATAAATACCACAATTGTAAGTCACTTGATTCAAATGAATAAAACACACTGATATAACAGAGGAGGCGACACTAAGCAACGCTCGGCCGTGGAAGAAAAGAAAGGGAAAATAAACACAGGCCCTCGAGATGTCCGTTTCCAATATAATCAAACGTGCAGCTGAAATAACGCATTTTTAATGAAGCCATTACAGGCCCTACTATGTTAATTAAAACCAAATAACTTGTCTGTTTTAAACTAGTGTTGTCAAGTGTTTATTTGGCCAATTACAAAAGCAGTGGGAGATCATTATCTGCTGCCAGGAGCGTTGACAGCACGTAGCGCCGGGGCGTGAACAGAAAAGAACAGACCAGAATACGGTACTTCAAAGGGAGAAATGCACCGCATAGACTGGAAGGGGGGTGGGACGGAGGGGGTGGGGTGTGGGGGGCTGAGGGGAAAAAACAGAAAAGTGGGAGAGTAAACGAGAGAGCAAGTGAAGTGAGAATAAATGAAGACAGACTAGTTTATGCTAAAAAATATATTTAAAGGGGATTTGGGGAAAAAAAAGTGAGAATGTCCATGGGGAAGAATACAAAGACTGAAGAGCAAAACAAAAGTATAATTGCAAGAGACGGGGACTGTGTAAGCACGGAGGTACAGAGGCAGGAAGACAAGGAAAAGAGGAGGGAAAAAGGAGACAGAGGGAGGGAAAGCTGGAAGGAAGAGGAGAAGGAGAGGGCTGAAGGTAAGGAGGGGGCTGAGATCCTAAAGGTATAATTCAAAGCTGCAGCTTTTTACATTTAAGATTCCCTTTAGACATGTTTTAAACCAATTAAAAAAAAATACTCATAATTTGTATCTGATAATTTGGAATAAAATTACATCCACTGCTCCTCCCTCATTGAAAAATGAATCTATGACTATCTATGAGTATTTGGATATGCAAGTATTTTAAAAGGTTTAACTACCAGACACAAGATTTCTCCTACTTCAATGAAAAGTCCATTGTCAGAGCATGTCCAGGGGAGGGTTCACATTTTCATTTCACACTTGTAAGTTGCATATTAAACCAAGAATGGCTGGTTGTGATGTCACAAAACCCCGCTTAAATGTTAAACTCAGGTTTAAGGTGAGCACAGAGAAACTTTCCACTTTCAACAGAGGAAGGGTGTCATACAGATCTATGTAGCAGTGGGTTTGTGTTATGTAGAGAATATTATAAGAACAGTCCTGAGGAACCTCTGAATGAAACTACTTTTAAAATAAACTACCTTCCCTCTTCCTGTGAAAACAAGTCAGATAGTGGGACAAGAAAAACACAACACACCAGTATAACAGATGTAAAATCTATTGCAGTGCAGCACACAGCTTCTTCTGTGCCACTGTTTATTTTTTCTGCATCTCAGGTTTTGTCTAAGAATCATTTGGGCAAATTCACTGACAGAGCTGGAAGAAGGATTAAGAGAAGGTGAAATAGAGTACAGTATCACTGTGAGAAAAATAATACGCTGGTCTGACAGTGTTTGGGTGTCTATGAGCAGCCGGGCAGGAAGAGCAGATTGCCGATTATTATACCGGCAGTCTAAACATGTTCACCGCAAGCTGAAGGAAGAAGACCTCAGGCCTTTCAGCAGCGGTTTGTGCTCAACAAGTATCAAAGAAAATGGAGAGAATTCTTGAATGAAGAGCTGAAAACTGAAACACTAAAAGTCCCCCCTCCTCCTTCTTCAAACTCGCTGACAGTCATAGAAACGGAGAAAGGGTTAGTTCCCTGAGCACGGCTAAGCCTAGTACAAATGAAGCCAGTGTAAGGCCTGCTGTAGTGCTGAAGAGATAAGCCACTGATACCAAATGTTGAGGAAAAGACTGAGTCCAAAAATTGGAGACTAATAGACACTTATTGGCTAAGCTACAGGAAGGTGGAAAAGCATGAATCAGAGACATCTGAACTGGTTCTGATGTTTTATCTCAAAGTCTCAAAAATTGATTAACAAATGAAAATAAATCTGTTTCCAGATTTACAGATTCACAATATAGCCCTTTCTCCTGGTCAATAATGTTGCAGTTTTAGACCACAATATTTGATAAAACTTTACTTGATGATCATGACTGCGTAGATCCACTAATTTGTGTTACAGCTGAATGAATGGCAATGAAATAAAGCGGGCTGAAGAGGAGGGAAATAGCAAAAGAAAGAGTGACACTGCACAAAGCCACAGAGAACTCGAAAAGGGAAAGAAGGTTTCAACAGTTGTGCAGTATTACAAATGCAATAGTGGTCTATCCTCTATCCTCTGATCCTGGCAGAGCAACAGTGAGAGCGTCTGGACGGGATGGAGGCTTTCTATGCTCCTCTCATTTAATTACAACACAGAGCTGGAGGATTAGACAGGGGCCTGTGTTCACAGCCTCATACTGGCACTACCACTGAGCTGCTTCCCTCCTCTCTTTCCCCAAATCTCTTGCCTTTCTGTTTTCTGGAATTATCTCCCATCTTCTTCTTTTTAATATCTTCTCCACTTGTCTTCTATATCCCTTTCTCTTTCAGACTGTTTCTCTGATTAAATCTTTTCTTTGTTTAAGCTTTTATCTTCTCTGTTCTCTTTTTGACTAGTTCTGCAGTCACCATCCTCTTCTCGCTGCTCTACCCCTCTAATCCTCCCATCCTGTTTTTGCCGGAATTTCATCTGCGATGCAGACACATCTTTATCTCTGTCTCAAACACATGTTTACTCTTGATTATAAAGAGACAACTGTGAATCCTTTAAGTGACAAAGTTGTGAGCGGGGCATGTGTTTACTTGAAAATATTTGTGCATGTGTTGAAGTGTGTGATTGTGACGAAATGAAGAGTGTGAGCTACGCGTTAACGTGTGTGTTAGTTTGAGGTGTTTGCCCCAGTGGTCTCTACAGACTAAGATGGCACACTGCCTGGGCAAGCCTACACACACACACACACACACACACACACACACACACACACACACACACACACACACACACACACACACACACACCTCTATACAACCACCACCACCCACCCTCCACATGCACTCTTCTCTTGATTAATGGAAATCCCATTTTTGTTTCCAGCAGCATGGCTAATTAAACTGGTAGTTAAAACAGTGCTCATTAGCTTGCTACCACGGAGCGCGGCGACCAAGCCCTCTAATGACTGGTTGTGGCTGACGGAGTGCTGCCGGGCGTCAGCGGAAGAGCCATAGAGAATACTACTGTTAGTGCTGACAACTGTATCCTACCCACAGTCACAGTGCACCGTACTGTCACAACGGACCGATACTAATTAATATTCACTGAATAATGCATGTGCACAGGTGGATGGATAAACACTTGGCTTAACTTGCCCCATCACAGGTACAAGGAAATATAGGCAGTGACGCAGTGGTGCTGCTGCAGCACACAAACACTGCAAACAAGTATGATAAGAACAAGAAAAACTAAATCATTCATCAGCCACAACAGATTGTCTTAACTATTGTCCCTGCTGCTCTCCACACACAGCTGCCACCTGAGATTCAGCCCAGGCCCAAACGGAAAAGCCAATTACAGCTGTGGATCTCTCCAGCAGAGATGTTAGCTGTGGCCGAGAACACTTCATAACCCGCTGCTACTCTTCTGCGCTAAGGATGAATTTAGCGTTTGTTTGTGTGGGCACAGAGCTGTTATGAAGGACAGCACAAAACAGTCATGGTAAAAAGTCTTTACCCTGCCACAAATGCGAATATAACAGATTAGATTATTATCTGTTTCTGCCTTTTCACACTGCATATGAATTTGTGAGCAGAAGAGGACAATTTCAGGCATGTGTGTGTTAGATATACCACTCACATTTCTACGAGGGAAGGTGGTAAGGAGCTTGAACTCGTCAAAGGGGTATCCCTTGGAGGCCACAAAGTCGAAGAGGACCTGGAGCTTACAGCTGCCCAGGAAACGCCTTTCCAGAAACTCGCCACTTGGTGTGCGGATTCGCAGTTTGCTGATTTGCTCTCCAGACTCCTCGACGGGCTCTGGCGGTAGGGCCTGCTCCAATGACAAGCGGATTGCCTGAAAGAAAGGGTGGGAGAAATCCAGTATTGTGGTCAGTACAGCACAGATTTATATTATGCTAATGAGCTACTTGTATATAAGTACATTTCTTTGTAGAAAACAGAGATAACAGAGAAATCTGAAATTCTGGATAAGGGTTAATGAAGTTGACTCTGAGGATTCCTCCAACTCTTTGAAATATGACAGTGTTTCTTCAAGATGATGCATAGTCTATTCATTGCATACTACTACAAAAAAAATTAATCAAGGAAAATTTAAGAAATGAAGGATTAATGTACAGCTTAACTACTTTTTCTATACGCAGCGCTTCAGTGTTGACAGAGGGAAGAGCTGTTTACATACAGGTGCCGGTGAGATGCAGCTGTCATCACTGGTGCTGCAGCTCTTTTTCTCAAGCCTATTAGCATTTCAAAGTACTAATCTTTTTTTTTTTTTTTTTTACAGTTTGTTCACACCAGATTTAGTATGAGTAATATTGTGACAGGTAGCCAAAAATAATAAGTTAATAATTAGATTAATTCAATAAGGAGTTAAAATGACAAAATGAATGGGGTGAGGACAAATGCCTTTCTGATTCATACAGTCTTCTGATTTGGCTTGTTTGTTTGATCGTTTAAAACACCACTGTAAGAGACACACAATAATAAAACTACAGATTAGTTCAGGAGTGGAAGGAGGCCAGGAAACATATACAGTCCTCCCCTATACAAGAATAAAAAATCTGAGATTCAGTCGAATGCAATTATAAAATGTGGCCCCGTCTCTCTGTGTTTCTAGAAAACTTAAACCAAAGACTACACAGTAACACTGGCAGTTATGAAGATGGTGGCACACTATCCAAACAAGTATGAAAGACAAGCCAAGAAGTTGCTCCCAGAGTCTGATTGCAGCACAGTTGCCTCACATTAATTAAAGGATCTTCTTGTCCTGAGAATGTTATTAAATTAGTTGTCCTGTGTCTCACCCTGTTCCCTAAAGCCTGATGTAGCTCAGAAGGTTGCCAAGCAGCATTTCAATACGTTAAAAACAGCCAAGTGTGTTTCATGAGTGCTCTTTCATGCTGGCTTACTGTTGCTCAGCCACCCTGTCAGGGAAATCTGAGATTGAGACTGTTGATTATCTCAAGTGTCCACCACAGACCGTCTAAAGTTGTATCATAAGAGCTAAAATCTTTGATGAAGCTTGAATCTTGGTCATTCTGTCTGTGGTGGTGTATCAAGTCCAAAGACAACGATCAACTGTCATCTTGCAGAGCAAAACTAATCAGCTCTCCTGTGTTCTAAAAACCGCGCTTCAGCCACTCCCTTGAGCCTTCCTCTTCTTTCTGCAAGTGCCCCTCTCCTCCTCCTCCCCCAGCTTGTTGTTCCTGTTTGGCCAGCCGGGGAGCATATGCTGTGACAACACGCCCCGGTTTTATTTACACACCATAATGCAATTATATTTCATAAGAGTGTACAACAGTAGCTCATTAGCAGCTTCTGGTGTTGGGTGGGCAGGGTAGGGCACGTGCCGCTCCGCCATCAGCTCCCTCAGGTATAAGAGCTGATGCTGACTGAGTTAAAGGGGCCCCGAGGGACAAACTAACACATACACAAATAAGAGACAAGAGTGTGGGCGCAGTGGTGGACATATAAATGCAGACACACAGTCGACCACAGACAGAAGCATAAACACCCACACAAGTGAGACGTAGCGTCCCTAAAGAAACCACAGGACACACGTCTGGTCGAGCCTGACTGCTCCAAACAAAAAATCAGAAGCATCTATCTGTCCATTTATCTGCCTCTCTAGCTCCACTCTGCTAACCACAGAAAGCAAACAGATGACAGGTGGGTGGGGATGTGTGTGCACCTGACAGCCACACAACTATATGCTAAGACCCCCTGAAGGAGGTAAATAGTAATGTCAACCCACACAGGCACATGAAACACATGTACCCCTCACTACCACCACCATCACTCTTCTTTTCACAAAGGCACAAAATCACAAAGAAAGCATTCCCTCTAGCATTGTCTACTCTCTGGTGGCTACTGATGTTTTTGTTGTGTCTGCAGTTTCTGTCATATACACTATGAGGTTATTCCCTCTTAAAACACAACCCAACTGAAAACTGTAAACAACAAAAAAATGATCAGAACAGCTACATTGTGGGCTGTTGAACTTGTCAGCTTTATAGTTACAATCAATGCAATGTTTGGATACTAAAGCATTTGTTACTGTTGCAGTAAAACAATGAATTACACCAACAAAATGTCTGCGGCCTAAAGGGAGGAATGATAAAACAAGCAGTAGCCTCAGTGACCTGTTTAGATGAAGAGATGCATTTGTAATGTAATCTAATGTTAACATGTGAAAGGAATACAGAAATAGAAATAAAAACTGATTTTATTAAACTAATATATATATTTTCAGGTTTCTCCAACTTCATCGAATGTAAATAATGATAGTCAGATTCCACTATTAAAGATTAATTGTCAACTTTCCTATATAGTTCATATTTTGCAGTGAAAAATAAATAAATAAAGATCATGAAAAAATGAAACTGGTAAGTATAATAACCAATCAAATTGAAATTGCTTAAATAATTTTCTATGTGCATGTCTGTCAGTGTATCTGTGAGCCCCAGCTCAATAGAACTAAAACTACAGTACACATGGGAAGTTGCACCATGTCCCATTTCAAATTTTGGTTCACAAGAGTTTAAAAATCTCAAGTTTCCATTGTGATGTATTTATGAATATATATTTATGACTGTAGCACAAGCACAACACAAATGTGTTAGCACAGGAGCCACCATAGAAACCATGGTGCTTGGGTAGGAAACACAAGGCCATGGTGGCCATTGTTATTTAAAATACACCAGCCTGCGCACAGTTTGGTTAGTGGACTACAGTGATATAATTAAGAAGGCCCTGTCCAGGGCTCTTTTGTTGTTGTCTGTTTAACTAAAGAGACAAATCACCTGAGCAAGCCGGGTCACCCAATACCTCTCAGTGCCCTGGGGCTCTCTACTGCTGAGTAAACAACAATCACTGAGGACTACACTGTATTACTATAGACTGTATTACAACAATGGTGTCGTCCTCACAGACAATTATTGTTTTCCCTGTATGCGTGACAGTGTGTCAGAGTGTGTGTGTGTGTGTGTGTGTGTGTGTGTGTGTGTGTGTGTGTGTGTGTGTTAGCCCCCTCTTCACATACAATAATTGTTGTCCTGTGAATATGTGTGTTTGCCTGGGTGGTGTGTGTTTGTGCACAAGCCTGTGTACATGAATTGCCTTAGTCTTTTGTTCAGTTAGGTTTCAACATGAGTCTGTGTGCTATACCAACGTAAAGCAGTTAAACTGAACAATAACTGTGTGTATGTAAGGTGACATGGACAGGGTTGGGCCTCACTGTAATTAGGATATTTCCTTCTTCTAAAATGCCTGTTCACCCACACTACACACGCTTCACTGATATTGTCAAGTGAGAACAAGACAGACAAAAAACGACATAACATGCAATGGCACAGTCACTGTGCACCAGCAAAACATTTCACTCTTCCACCTTGTACTGATAACGGTGGAATATTCATTTGAGAAAATTAACATAATGTTAGTACAATGTGTACATGGCTGTCTTCTCACCTCCTTCTCCTCCTCCTGCTCCTTTCTCATCTGTTCCAGGCGAACTTGCTCGGCCTCTTCTCTCTCTTGGGCTTCTCTCTAAAAATGACAGAAATTAATTTAATCAATGTAATAGCAGAGCCAAAATCAAACAGTGACATGCAGCGCTGAAGACTGTTACTGTGTTGCCTACAGTTATCACTTTGCTTTGATGACTTGTTTTGGTTATTATCCTCATGATCCAAGCAACCTGATTTTCTGGGCACTGACGTCTTTAAATCTAGTACAGGCTAGTCATGACAATGCAGCTTAAGTGATGTGCTGAATAATTTCCTACCAACTGATCATCAAGGCTGTGATTCAAAAAGCCTCTCTACCTTGATTGTGTCAGGACAACTGCAACTTAAAGCTAAAATGGGATGCTCTGTAGGCTCTGTAGAAACTGAATTATCATTCAATTTCATGAATATGCTTAAATCCAAAAGCATTACAATAGCAAGCAACTACTCTTACTTCTGGATGCTTACATATGATAATAGGGTTATTAGCAAAATTAATATTTTACAATAAAAAAATGCAGGTGACGCCCATATAAAATAAAATATACATTACAGTAAAGGCAGTACATAGCTTTTGCTTTTTTGGTTAAACCCTACCATACTAACTCACAGTGATACTGTAAGAGTAGATTTCAAGCTTTTGGTTTTACTTTACAAACATCATCAGGAGCTGATAAGGATGATGGGAAACAAGAATAATAGTAAATAGAAGTGATACAGGAAGACTGTTTGTTTTGTTTTTAAAGTACCTTCTTACGGTCAGCCTCTAAAGACAGACGGTAGGCCTCGTCCTGTTCTCTCTTCACCATCTCTCTTGCCTCACGCTCGTCCTGGGTGGAGGGAGGGAAAAAGAAAGTGGGGCCCATTAGCTAACAAGACAATAAAGGATACACAGGGACAAAACATCTAAGCCGAGGAGCCAAAAAGAATCGAGCAAAGGAAAAATGCAGCATGTCAAGTGTGGTTAGGTACAAACACCAGGTATGAAAGAGTAGCACCAGAGGGGAATTCATTATGACAGGGCTGTCATTTACCAGACCCGAGCTTCTTTTATGTTTCCTCATCTCAGTTTCACCGTCCCTTTCTCTTTCATTCACTCTGCCTCTTGCTTCCTGTTTGTACAGAGGGAAGGGGAAAAGCGGCCTTTCTCTTTCTACCTGCTGTGGCTACAAAGTGTTTTATAAAGACTGGGACTAAATACGAGTGCCCATTGTGTTAACAGTGCACAGCCATTAGTTTTCTATTTCTGAAGGCCCACGCTGTGTGCCAGCCCGGATATGGCGAAGTAAGCTTATTGTGATGATCAGAGGACTACTGTGCAGCCAATCAGTAGCTAAGCAAAAGGACAGTGTGTATTGTTGCATTCAATCAGAAAATGCAAAGGATACATTTGTGCTTTTGACCTGCATAATAGATTAACATTGAAAGGAAACTGTAAAAGAATGGCAGACAGGGACAAAAGCATCAAAAGTGGCGACCTTCAATAGACTGGCCCTGAGTCACGCAAACAAGTTGCACAGCAGTTCTTGTTTAACACTCATTTTGTGCTGTTCTAAAATGTTTTCAAATGCACCATCTGCATTGAATAGCCCTATGTGCACCAGAGCAAGGAAGCAAAATGTTAATCTTCCATGAATCTGCTTAAAAACAAGGTAATTTTACTCTCAACAGAAACAGATTTTCCACGTCTATATCTTGGCTACTGATCAAGTTGGTGAGACATGTGCTGTCTTCTAGAGGTAATGATAATCTTATTGAGTCAGAAGTCAGAAATTCAAGCTCACAAATAACAAATAATGGAAAGAGCTGCAAGAAGCTGTTTTTAATTCACAGTTTAATTTAGGAACCAAGTGGATTAGATCTACTTTAACTCGGGTAAATTTTAACTTATTATTTGTTTTTGGGCAAAATTATTGCTCAGTGGCTCACTGTCACTCCACAGCCAGAGGCTCCAGAATTAAACGTGAGTGCTCCCGTCTGTGGACCTTGCATGCTCCCTGATTCTGGGATATGTATGTTTGGTGCCCTTGACCAAAGTACTGGCTTCAAAACTCTGGTGTTTCTCATATACAGCATTTTGCTGAAACCAGCTGTTTATCCCAAAAATGAACAAGGGTTATTTTTGGCAGTTGTTCACATAAAATGCAGTGGAAATGGCCCCTGATGCTGACAGATGCAGACCACAAAACCTGCAGTGAGTAGTCAGTCGATTACTAAGTACTAAGCTAAAACACAGACAACCATAGGAATGACTGGCGAGTCAGTAAGGTTGGTTGAAGTCACAATGTGGCTGTCCAGCTGCTCCGTTTCCAGACAGACACAAAAGTCACTGTCAAAGTGGAATGTCTGAGTTGGGTGGGTGTCTGTGTTCGTGTCTGAGTTTGCCTTTGGAGAGGCGAGGTGGAAAATAGAAAGAAGAAAGAGGGAAGGGAGCTTGGGAAGAAGGAAATTCACCAATGCCTAAGAGCTGTTACAGCAAAGATGGGATTAGTGCAGTGTCAAGGTTGAGTTCACCCTGGAGATGGGATGAGTCCTGTCAGATACAGGATATGCTAAAATCCTGCAGTTATTGGTACTAATCATGAATAATCACATTGAACATTATGCTTTCATCATCACTTATACTCTCTACGCTGTCTTCTTGAGAAATTTTCACCAGCCATTTCTTTCTGGCCAGTAACGTTGGGATAATTATCACACTTTAATAGAACAGCTTTACTGCTCTTATGCCATGACAAATCTAATTTCTCTCTTGTTGCAATGATTATAAAAGACAATTATTTTGTACAGAGGCCTTGAAAAGAAAAAAAGACAAAGAAAAATTCTCTGGTGCTTTTTAAGCACAAAAAAACAAGTTACCTTGTAAAGAAGAAAGAATCACACAATCTACAACTACTTTTAATATTTAACAACAACACATAATAAGGTCAATATACATTGTAATGTAGTGAACCAAATTCATTTTCCAGTGTGAACAGGGCTGGGTATTGAATGTCAGTACTTTTGTTATCAAGTGAAATGTGTCCATAGCACATTTTGGAACCATCAAGTAGTGAAAGCTGGCATAAAATGCCTGCTGCAATGTAAATCTAAATGTTGCCAATTTTAGTCGGTTTAATTTAGGCATCATTCTTGCATGGCAGCTTTCCTTCAGACAACATCAAACATTTGAGAACTTATTTGTCAAATGAAAAGAAAAAGAGGCTTTGTAGAAAAAGTAGCTTAGAACTGATGTATTAACAAGTCTCATTTTGATGTTCATCTGTACTGAAACTCAGGTATCGTTTTCGGAACTGGAAAAAAATCTCATGATACCCGGCCTTAAGTATGAACCTACAGTCAACTTCATGACTCACAGTTTAATCTGATGCACACACATACTCTGAATACTTCATGTCACTTCTTATCAATAATGATTATTGGAAGAGTGACAAGAGTGGTAAATCCAAAATGAAGTCAGAGAATTGTAGCAATAATAACAACACGGAGAATAGCTGTCACTCAACAGCTGAGAAAGCCTAACCCTAAGGGTGTGTATGTGACAAGATTCACTGCTTAATCACTGTTCCCATAACTCAGATGCTCTGACTCTTAGATTAACATTGTTGGGGAGGCTGTTTGGTTGACTAATTGTAAAACTCCTAATATGGCATGACATGTGTCATCTGTAGATATAGTAGTCAAAAAAGAGGCACAACGATGTCAAAGAAAGTGTGGGAATGTAAGACACTAAGACAAAAGATTTCACAACTGACACACTGCACAGACCAAAACACGTGTATGTGTGAAACGTGAGAAGGAAGAATAGTATTATTAATGACCACAAATCTTACTTAATTATGCAAATCTTTATATTACTTATTAAATTAAAAGAAGAATTCAAATTATGTTTCTTAGTCTGTGGAGACTGTATATTCAATACTGTTGCAAATTCCTAAATCACTAAAATAAAAGAGAAAAACAGAGCTTGGAGGATTATGTGAATACTCTGCAGATAAAAAACCTGCCTTGACAAAAAACACATAGTGTGTCATTCAATCTCTTGTTTGATGTCACTGGGTAAACATATCAGTAAGTGGTTAAGAGGGTCAGGTGAAAGTCTTTGACAGTGAGGAGACCTTCCTGTCATACTGTCCCAGACTCCTGTCTATGACATGAAAGACCATCACCACTGTTCCCTCATTTTTTTGTATGGAGTCTATCTGTCAGTGGTGTTTGTCCACTTTCTATTGGGGTAAAGTATGCCACGGTTTAACAATGCAGTCTGATCTGTCCCAACATGTTGCCATTTATCTCTTAAGCAGGACATAATAGACCGGCTCTGGCTCAACGAAGGCCATCGAATGTAGCTACAGTCATACAGCTAGCATACAGATGGTTTAAATTGTTACTAGAGGTCGTCCTATTCCTTATCCTAACCCACTGTATATAAATTATAATATCTTTTTTATTTATTTTATAACAATCCAATTTAAAGCACAATCAACCTGACCCAATGCATTTTCTACATCTTAAAGAAACAGAGCCACATTTTTGTTTGGCTGCTTCCTGTTCAGACCTTACCTCATCTTTGATGTCCTCTTGCTGTTGTGCTGTAAAGATCTCCATTGCTCCCATTAACCTCATCATCAGCTCGTCCACTGTCGTATTGCCTGAAGATAAAAAAGAGAAAAAAAAGCAATCAAACAATCACAATCTACAGTGTGTAATTTATTCTTTTTCATACATTAATTACAGAAAAATATATCTGTAAATATTATGGTTAGTCATACTATTAATGAAGCAGGAATTACCTTGAATAACGTTTAGAACTTCGTTGGACGTGCGCTTGCCCATGACTATTAGGAGCAGGGGGAACTGGTCTGTTTTGTATGTTCGTATAGTTTGCGTCACCACACTTCCAAAGTGCCTCGTACACATGGTGAGTAGTCTGGAAGCAAAGAAAGAAATCCAATTCAAATTTCACATTTATTATACACTTCATCGTTTTTCTTGGAAATGAACATGTATTTCAGAGCCTGCAATTAAAAAAACGCTTCAAACATAAAGGGGACAAATGCATACAAACATGTGTACAAACATTTTAACAACATATGGAAATGAAGGTGTACACTCCAGCTTTTCAGACTGCAGCAGGGAAGAGAAATACACACAACTCGTGGCATTAAGGACTTTAAAACCAATTCTGCATTTTCTTATTCCATCAGAGTGACATGCTATCTCAATTGGAACCACAGATGAATTAGTATTCTTCACCAGACACCCAGAATTGATAGGGCAAGAGAGGATTTCTTATTCCATTACAAAGACAGAACTTTTTAAATTAACATTTCAGAGAGGGAAAAGGGTAGCAGGCAGCCGGGGCCCCGCCAAGCTCCCTGTAAATGTCATAATATTAATGAATTGCTATAGACTGAATGCAAATATAGATTAGCTTTTTCTCTCGCCTTTTAATAAGATCTACTTTAATAACTGGCTGGTAAAATAGAGAAGTAATGGAATGGATGGAGGGACAGCAGGTCAAAGGAAGAAGATAGGTGGAAGGGGGTATTAAAACATGAAGCCAAAGCTGCAGGAGCAACTTTCAGACTTTTCAAACTGTGAAATAGAGAATGTGAGCTCATTGTGGTACTTTTTAAAATAATCATAAAAGCACATGCTGAAAATATGGATGGTACTGAAAGATCAGTGAACAGTGGGAAAGCTACAGGACCTGAGCTCAAAGAAGAACAGAATTTAAGATGCTGTTGGAATATGGTTCAAACAAAACTTTTCTGAATGTTGAACTTTCAGTGACCCACATCTTGCAATGAAAAAGTTGGGTACCCTAAATCCTACTGATCACTCTGTCCTGACATTTGTCCCTGTTCAGACCTCGACCATGGCAGACCATAACAATAGCCCACAGGGAAACTCTAACCTGTAATGAAAGGCCAGGGAACAATGGCCACTAACTTGAAGGGTAACCCAATCTTAAATCTCCCATTAAACACAAGCCAACCTGCTTTGGTTTCTATCTCAAAACTAAGGAAGTCAGTCCACCACAGCAAAAATCATCACCACAACATAAAACCTGCTCAGCCTGGAAACTCAGCCTGAAACTATTGCACATCCACTTGCAGTCAGAATGAAAGAAATGTTGTAATCAGAATATGAAACACTAATGAACCCACCTATAGAACAAGTATGGACACAACACTGAAGGCAGGAGGAAGTCAAGCTACTACAGGAGCTGAGGTGAACAGTTCATCACAGTCTCATCCAGCCATAATATAACATGGTAAAGAATGTAGCCTAGTCCGTACCAGACCTGCTGCCTTTAAAAACCTTCAGGGGTAAGTAAATGTAGAGGAAACACCTGCCTGGAACTTGCAACTAATGTGAGTTAAAGACTTTGGTTCAGTGGTTAATGTGATTGACAGCTTCTAATTTGTCACCCATCCCACCTCATTCACTCACTGCACATCCAGGCAGCTAAAATAGTTAATGTTTCCCTGGACTGTCACGTCACATTACTTCACATCAAGGTGGTGCAAGAAGATGTGAGTAGACTGGTTAGACCTGACAGCTGCTTGACTGAGCAGCTGATGAATCCAGCTAGTACAGTAGCACTGCAGGGAATATTTTTACCAGCCACCTGTATGGGAGGGGGAAGTATGGGAACCGGATGCGCTGATAGCTCACTGTGTCATACACACTTTGTTTCAGAGCGAACATGGACATGTTTTGATTTGAAAATGACATTTTGTTCTCTCTCTAAACCAGTTATGTTTTCAGGTAGGAGGATGTCAAGAGGAGAAGTCAAGTGTACAGAACAGGCTTGCATGTCAGTTTGTCCCCGCTCTTACAGGTGAAGGCACCAACTTACACTTAAAGGTAATTAAGAATAACATGAACACCTGCATTGCAGTGCTATTGTACAGGTGTTCATTTTAGTGTCAGGCCTTTGTATACTGTTGACTGTTCAAATCTATACAAAAAAATAGCATAAAAATAAAGACACTCTACTTAACCTTTTTTGTGCTTGCACAGATATGTTAGCATGGGGATAAATTGTGTAATAGATTTAAAGACGTATGACACACGCTGATAAAATTATCTACTTCCAGTGTGTTTATTTACTGGTAGTTTTAATATTTGCCATGTGCAACAGCAGTACAGCGCCTGAACGATATATCAGATTCATTCCCCATGGGTGACAATTACACTGACATCCAATAAGCGGAACTGCATTTATGCATAATTAATCATTTAACTGGGAGGCCTGTGAGAATACAGAGAGCAAAGCAACAGGCACATTCCAATATCAGCAGGTTCATCAAACACACACAGTCAGGATACCTTTCTAACAGCTTGTGTGATTGATGCCAATCACCAGTCACTTTGGATCAACCAGAGAGCGTGAGAATGCAGAGAAGCAGTGTATGTGTGAGTGAGAGAGCGTGCACATGTGCATGCATGCGTTAGCAGCAAAGCTGTGACTAGCTGTGTGTGATGAAAAGCTCCAGATGTTGCCTGCCTTTTAAAGTGCAATAAAAAGGCTCAGCTGGGGCAAAAAGCAAAGGAGGCCAATGGGAGAGAAAGGAGAGTGGAATGAAGAAGGAGGGTATTTCCTTAAAAGAAATAATGGAGGGGTAAGGTCAAGGTGCGAGTCTTTCTTAAATGGCTCCTACCAGAGGGCAGGCTTAACTCTGGAGGTTCTGGGGAGAGGGAGAGAGTTGAGGTAGTGGGATAAAGAGAAGGAAAATAAAGAAAAATTGGGAAAGAGATGAGGAGATCGAAAAGATGTAGCAGAAATATGAGAGGAAGTAGGAGAGAACTGAGCTCGTCAGGGGCACAATGTAATGAGAAAACCCAATCAAACCCTCAGCAGGTCCACATTTACCTCCACCGACAAACACTTGATGCTGTGGGGATCTGGTTGTCTGTAACACATTGCAGACCAGAATTATTTTTCAAATTCATTTCACAAATTTTCTACCAAATTTACAATCCAGTGAAAGATATCCATCCTAGTAGCAGGACATGTATAATATACTGGTGTTGGACAGACCTGTCAATTAACAACACAGACTGTTGGAGCTCCACTGGAACATTTGAGCATAAATAGAGAGATAGAGATGTTTGGGCTCCAAGGGAGTCCTTCATCTCCCACTGACCCTCTATTCAGACAGCTTAGTCAAGATTGCCCAATCAGGGGCCTCACCATGCAAACACAACGCCTTTTGTGAGCATGCAACCTCCAAGCTTCAAAAAGAGAATGAAGTTGAAGAGAGAATGAGAGGACAGAGATACAGGGTGTGAGCAATGGAGTAAGAGCTGAATGCCAGCAATTAAGGACATGTCCACATTAATGAGAATAGATGTGAAAATGCTGTTTATGTGTCAAATGGGCGTCTGTCCACACTAGCAATTTTAGATCATTTTTTAAATGCTTCCTGTACAGTGGAATGGCAAAACAAAGATCTCATGGGCAGCCTTTTAATTTCAAGATTTGCTGACTTTAAAACTGAAAAAACAATTACAAGAGTATGCAGCAGGATAGGGCAAGGTACTAATGAATACTACATTAACCTTCTCTAAGAGAGCTATTAAAACAAAGACACTGAAACAGGATAGTAACTTGTTCTAGACATTTTCCTTAACAGGGTATTCTGTCAGTTTGCAGACCTTTCTGCATACAATCAAGCTGCTCTCCTACTGAAATACATTTAATATCCTCTTTATTAGATACACCTCAGTATTTATGCAAACAGTCCATTCCTCCAGACAGTAAGTCAGGTATAAATAAAACATAAGGATTAAGCATGCAGTCAGGGTTTAGAGGTTTGGTTATTGCACTACTAAACGGCTGGGGAAATGCAATACTATACACAGTTTGATTGTGATGCATGGATCTCTAAGAGGGTCAGAGAATTAATTCAGTGTTTAAAGGGCAATTTCATTTTTTAAACAACCTGAGTCATATCACTTTGGCTATCATTCTGATTGATTATCAAAACCGTTTTCTCACTAGCCTCAGACTCAGAGAGCAGGGAATACTACTAAACTCAGCTTTACAAGAGAATACATGTGTTATTGCAATTTGAGATATGAGTAATCATTTAAATGTTCACCTATATTTCAACATTTAAATATTTGATTTGATAACCTGTTAAAAAAAAAACCTTTAAGATAAAACTTTTCTGATCAATCATATAGCAATATTTCATTGACTATATCTCAAATCTGTGTCTAATGTTTGTATTCAGCAAAACGGAAAACTACCTGGTGCTAAAGTTGTAGCAACAGGAGCTGACACAATAACAGGAAAACTCTATACTACAATGAAGTCCAAATAAGTCCAATAAATGTAACATCTTTTTACTGTCTGGCACAGACTCAACAAAAGTTCATAGAGGTAGTTTAAGGCACTATTGTACTTAATTCAAATATATTAAACAGGGATTCCTATTATTGTGTCCACTCCATGTAGTACTGAACTAAGTTGTTCCACAGCTGCAGTATTGTGTAAAATGAACAAAATACAAATTGAGATAAATTCCACCGCTCCACAACCAGCAGGTCACCTGAAAAAAAGAAAAAATGATTAAATATTTGGTACTGTACCTGGCTTTGTTAGCTTCTTTAGTGACGTCCCAGGCCCATGTGATGAAGTTCTGGCTCAGGTAAGAGACAATGGAGTCAGCACACATCATTTGGGAGCAGAAGACGTTGCTGAGGACACTGTCGTCATTGTGGAGGTAGATGGCCAGCAGCTTTCTCTGTGGAATAAATAAAAAATTGTGAGTATAATGTGCCATTCTAGGGACATTTTCCATGCCAGGAAGGAAAGGCCATTGCAACAGATGAGGTGATTTTGTGTTCATGCAAACAACAGAATAAAAAGGTATAGTTGGCTGTTAACAGATGGGAAGCGTAGTTTTTCACAAGCTTATGGAGAAGAGACATTTTTAGATCGATCTCCCAGAAATTACAAGATTACAAGTTTGGTGACGAGCTCGAACACAAACATCCCAGAAAATAATGAATCGTTAAAACTGTAATCTTTGCTTGAAATGAAAACATCCATCCCTCCCTGATCTGTCTTGATCTGTAGAGCGAGATCTCTAAGCCACATGGAGGTGTCTCATCAGTGGAGAGATATTTCCACATTATATGACCATAAAATGACATGAGGGACCACTGGGTGCAGAGCCAGCATGACTTCTACAGACCACAGCAAGGCCGCAACTGGCAAAAAAGCAAATACCACGCAAAATCAAATGCAGAGCGGTGTAAATAAAACTTCTCTTGGAGGCGACGAAGATATGGAGAAAACACAACAGACAAATCACTCTATTTATTTTACACCAAATGCCAGCAGCCTGTTCAGGTTAGTAGCGGCAGGGCCAGACAATATTGACGAAGCTCCAAATCCAAGGATATTGACACCATCATATAAGCCTGGCAGATTCTCCCTACTGACAATCTAATTAAAAAACAAACACACCCACAAACATAAAAGGTTCCAGGGGACAATGTTGGAAATAATGCTCTCTAAATTACATGTCACTTCTCTTACTATAAAAGAGCAAATAAGAAAAAACTCTCTCAGTCTCTGCTTAGTTCATTTTTAACCATGGCTGCGAAGGGGGAGTCAAAGGGTCTGTTTCTCAGGAGCAGTAATCTAGGCTACGTACGCCAAAAAGCAAAAAATCTACACAGGGCGTAAAACGTGAAGGGAAGTGAAAGAAGAAGTTGTGCTATACTGTGGCCTGTGTAGAATAGGAATGGGAGAGCACTGCTGTGTTTGCTCAACGATTAGTGCTTTAGAATAATCTCCAGGGCTACTAGTGAGAAGGAGCTGGGGACTCATTCATTGGGCCGATTCAACGGCCTGAAAAGATTAAACACTCATGCTGAGAAGACAAGCAAATTCAGTCTTGAGAGAGGAATGAGTGTGAGGGGAGGGAGAGTTTTACATGAAAAAAAAAAAAAAAAAAAAAACCTGATACACACTCAAACACTGACGTCCCAACACACATGCACAGATGCACAAACTTAACTGCGGTACCCACAAGTGAAGGACTCACACACATGCATGCTCAATTAGAGTAAATGTAAAGACTAATCAAAGTGGGCATTTTGGCAAACTGAACTCCTTCATCTTAGTTAAACTGTCCATACCCCTCTATTCCCTCTCCACTTTCAAGTCGGATCTTTTGTATTGCCTGTCTTAGCAGGGAGGAGCAAATCCCTCAGTTCAGCTAAATTACTAGGTCCAACCTGAGCTAGATAGTGACCCCATAGCCCTTCCTCACACCTGTTCACCTAAATCTAAGCTTGCTTTGTGTGTGTGAAAGAGAATAAAGATTTCACACAGCAGAACAGTGTGCACATTGAGTGAGCTTGAGCCTCTGACTGTATAATCAATGCTGCTCTTACTCTTGCACTGGAAAGAGAGACGCCTTGTGTTAGAGTTTGAGTCATCACCACGTTTAATGAAAAAAAAAAAAAAAAAGTATAATTTTTTTTTTTCATCCAAATTTGCAATGCCAATATTTTTTTTAAAGAAACAAAATCTCATTGGGTTCAACTGAATATCTGGTCCCAAATATGGATTCTTAAATTAATTGACATCTTCTTATTATAACTCCTGTTCTCTATTCTGCAAGTAACATGTCGATGAATCACAGCACTGCTCCATGTAATGAACAAATGTTATTAAAAAAAAAAAAAACATACAACATTCAAGGTCTGGGTGCAGCTTACTGAAACACTGATAGCAAGAGTGTGAGGTGTAAGCCTAGCAGATAAATATTATTAATAAAAACAATAACTTTAATTTAATTTCCCTTGTCCAGAGGAGACAGGGCCTGTTCTCAACTTACTTTAGTAAAAATTTCCTGCTGAAACAACATAGTTTTAATAACACTTTATCCTTGCTTCAAGTAGGAATCAAAGAAGCAACATTTACGGATAAAGTATGCACAATGTTACAGCATTCTTAAATTTGTTTTAAGGGATAATCCATGATGAAAAACAATTGCTGAAAAATACTGCAGGACACAGAAGCCATTAACCGTACGTACTTAGAGCAGTCTCACTTGCGAGACATGAATGTACAAAATGAGTTGTAGCAGAAAGGCACTCTTTAAATTATATATAAATTATATACATATTAACTTTGAACTGTGATGATACAAGCATGTGACCAATCATAAGTATTCTCCATGGAAGATGCCATTAATGCAAAGAAAGAACAGGGTTTTACAGTGCACAAACACTTCTTATCACTAAAAATCCCACAATGCAACCAAACTAATCCCTCCCCACTAGCCCTGTGTGTGTCACTCCACATGAAGTCACACTCACAGCTGTGGAGGGCACTCTGCAGTAAAGAGAAAGCTAATATTAATATAACCAAAATCCCAGATGATATCTATTCTCATATTGCAATACCCATTGTACAACTGATACTTCCAGGTCCTATGTAACCTTTTCTGAGTGTTGTACAATATTTGCTGTAACTGTCGACCAGCAAGAATATGAAGCACTAGTCCAAAGAGATAAACAATATATATACTGTATGTGACACTGGAATATAAAATTGATTTTATTGAAATTTGAAGCCTCTTTGTGGAACTTTGCGGAGGTCCTCTAGAGTGGTAAAGGTCTAAAGGTAAAGTCGTATCTTTTTCCTGACAGTGAGCTATTAGTTTAATTGAGGGTCCATTTTCAGGGGATGAGATTTGTGCCACATCAAGAAGAGGCTTTTAATCACATGTGCAGTATGTTTAACAGGACCAGAGGATTTCACTGAATAAGATACAGACAAACACAATGAGGTACAGAGTGAAAAAAGGACAAAGCAGTCCAGATAGTAATTGTTCTCAAGATGGCAGGCTCAGTCTGGAAAAGCAAATACTTCAAAATGAAGAGCTCAAATGTCTGATCTAATGACCTTGCACACATAGTGGTAAAACACATTTAGATCGATGACCAACCACACAGGAGGTTCACTACACACTGTTGAAAACACATTAACTCTTTAGAACAGAAACAGCATCAAATTTTAGACTTTTTCCAAAGTGTGATTAAATCAATCAAATTACACGTCAGCTTTGAATTACATGCTTAAGGCTAAGTAGGTATCTTTTGGCCATGCTAATCATTAACTGATGGTTGGTAAGGTAGGATGCTGTATATTCATACATTCAAGTAGTTTCCTGCACCTTCACTTCCACTCTACTCCAATTTAACTTTTAGTCCATTTATTCATGAATAAGAGCAATCATTTCAGGTGCAGTCAATAACCCATGAGAGTGTTGCTTGTGATTCACAGCCATAGATCTAATAGATATATGTACATCTATATGTCATTTGCCATTCTGATTCACTGGTGCTCTTTTCTCTTGACTCTGCAGGGCTATTGCTGGGTTTTAAAGCGGATACTTGGCAGTGATAAATCCCTGAAGTCCCCTCTCAAGCAAGGCTATGAATTTTGATGTGTCTTTGTGTGTGGCAGACAGGAGAGAGGAGTTGAGAGTGAAGGAGAGTGGGGTTAGAGTGATTAACCACTGCGTTGATGGGGATTTAGTGAGGATCGTGGTTAGTGATGGGTGGCCTATCTCTCTGTACGCTCTGACTAACCACTGATCCCCAAGAGGGTTCAGCTCAGCTCAGCTCAGCTCTGCAGCCCAAAGCATTTTCATTAAGGATGGATTGAGTCAATCTCAACAGTCCCCCAACACACACCTTCAGAAACACTTCATCAAATGTAGTGTTTTGCTTAGTGATTAGCCTCTCCCAGGCTTTGAGAGAGTGAGACTGATTCCTGTGTTTATAAACCCACCGAGAAGCCCTTCAGTCAAATCTGCCCTATTCCAATATCCCCTTAATGAAGGAGGCTTTTTCTACGATGAGGACACAAAAACTTGATTCCTTTTCAAATGGAAGCAAAGAGCAAAGGATGACACGTCTAGATAGATGGGAGGCGGGACAGTGTAATCGTGCACATATGCTACTGTGAAATGAAACCGTCAAAAAGCAGCGTGTTTTGGCCTGTCGTCTAGGATGCTTGTGACAAAACAGGACAAACACAGAACAGATCAAATAGCTTCTGTTTTCATGCAAAATTCTTTGCACATATTTCAGCTTCCCTAAAGCCATTCTAACCACGGCACAGTTGGCAGGCTAAATCAAGCTCACCCAGAATAAAACAAAATACAGTGAAAATGAATACTATTTCGCCCCTGAGCTGTGTAGAGCTCAGTGGTACAGTACAGAGTGTGTGAACACCAGGGAGACATCGGCCATATTGTGCTGGCTTAGGAGAGGAGATCAGCTGGGAAGCAGGCGAGACGCCAAGCTTCTCTTTAGATTTTTTTCCATCACTGTTTATTTCACACTCTCTACATCCCTTACCCTCATGCTGCAACCTCTCCTTTTACTCCTCTCTTTCTTCTCACTCAGTGTCTTCCTCCAACTTTCTCTTTTTGCACCTCCTCCTCCCCTGTCAGACCATGTTATCTGCATTGTGCCCCTACTATCATCCATTCCACCCTCCCTCTCTCTCTGCGTGCCTGGTGATCTGAACCCCCCTAACATCTTGCTGTGTCCTCACAGTCTAATAAGGCTGTAATCCACACAAGCTGTCAGTTGATACAAGCATCCTTAAAAGGACAAAAGCTGAAAAACAAGGGGGGAAAGTGGACAGCTAAAAATAAAGCCTCAGCTGTCAGGGTGAAAATTTGATGAGGGTTTTGATGAAATGATATCAATGTGGCTATAAAGCCGTCTCCACACAGCAAGACAGGGGGGGTAGACAAATAACAGTAAATGCTGCATGAAAAAGGATTTCTACTTTGAACTGAATAAATTATCAATGCCAACACAACACAACTAGAACTCATGACAACTTCAGCTTCTGCTTGTTCTCGAGGAAGGCCATTTAAGGTTGCATAAGAAGTAGAAATTTTTATCAACCCAGTAAACACTGTTCATGTCAATCAAACACCTGCCAGTAAAATGTATTTAATCTCTCTGTCAGTTCACTTTGTATGCATTTGGCATATGGTGTTATGATTCTTTAGACTCCAAAATTAATGACACTTTCGTTAATAGCCTGTCTTTAGGTTTTATGTGTTCATATAGCCTTTGTTAAACTAATGTAGTGAACTCTATCTCAATGGTCCTCAGGACAAGGACAAACCATTCTACAGTTTATCGCAGCCTGGAAAAGCGCATACTAGGCGTACACAGAAATTTGTTATAACACTGCCATTGCGTTTTAAATTCCCACCAGCTCAGTAATGAAGACAAAGATATGAGAAACGCAGTATCTCCCCTGACAGATAGAGAATGAATAATATCCTGCTCAGTCTGTGTTCCTTCTCTGTGTTGTCTTAAGCAAAGAAAACTGCTCAAAAAAAGCAACGACTAGACACCACAAGGCAGGAATGACATCAGTGTTTAAGGACAATCCAACACTGGTAAGATCAGAACTTTATATTTCACACTGTCAAAATTAAAAGTGTTTTAAATATAAAGGGGCAAAAAAAAACATTACAGTTTTTCTATGAAGCCCTAAACAGTCCAATAGCTTACTTACATCTCTGGCTTTGCCATAGAAGGCCTCTTGAGATGCTGCCTCCAAAGACCCAATGAAGAACATTGGGTGGGTCTCTCCATACCTACAAACACAGTTAAAGCAAAGGACACACAAACAACAGGCAAATAGTGCATAAACAGATGTTACATTCCAGCCTTGTCTGATTTCAAAGTCCTTTGAATTAATATGAAAAGTACCTGACGCAAAGCTCACCTTGAAGAAAATTCGGCAGTAAAGTGCAGTAAGGCATCAGCTTCGTTCTCACTATTCTCTGGCACTAGAAGGAGACAAAAAATACGGCATGATCAAGTTTTTTAATGTGTGTTCCTAGATTTTAATACTATAGCTGGAGCTACAATTACAAGCTCAAAACTAAAATTAAGCTGCAACGCTGGTACATACTCATGGGTGATTTCCGACAGCTTGAGGAGCCCATTCCAAACATCTCTGAATCATCCACACCAAACTCTGACGCATCCTCAAAATCATCCCCCTCACTGTCGCTGATCATATGGACATCTGCACACTGTAAAAACATTTATTCATTAATATCCAGACTTACTTGGGGGGGGGGGGGGGGATAATGCACAACATGGATCCTGAGGGAAAGGCTGTGTGTATATACCTCTTCTGTGGGCTCCTGGGCATTGGCTGGTGAGGACCTCCGACAAACACTGAGGTGATGGCAAGGATAGCTGATTCCAGAGACAGCTAGTGTCATCTGAAAACAGGAAACAAAATAAAAGGGTGTTATTGAGTCTTGTCTACAAAGCAAGCCCAACCAGTTAAGTATGATCTTGGACAGTATGTGAATGGCCCAATCTCAAACTATTCAAAGTTGACATCAAGGTGATACCAAAGACTGATCTCTAATCAGACAACCCGCTCCAAGTTATCTACATCACAGTATCTTCCCAAACACTTAAGTTATCTTATTTAGGACTAGATCACCATCATGAGACAATTTATGACTTTTGAACAAAGGCTTCCTCATCTCTCTAATCAGAGGAGATCTTGATGAGGTATCTGTACACCTGCAGTAGCCGTTAGTGTGATGTTGGTTTGTAGTAAGAGAATGCCTGATTAATGAGCTCTCCAATCCAAAGCCAGGACTGAAAATGTCAGTATTCAGCAGGGACTCATTACAGCTCGTGTCTCCTAGCTTAGACCCCAAAGGACATAGACAATAGAGGCAAGGCTGTTGCAGGATGTAGTGTAAAACTCAAGATACCTCACTTTTAAAAAGTGGTGGGCCAGATTTTAGATTGATTCCTATCATATAACAATGTGGAGCTACTTTTCAACACCCAACCATAAAAGAAAAAAAAAATCTAAATGTCATTTTTTTTTCTCAACACGCTGACACCTCTGTTGATTCCTGTCAACAGTGGCCAGTAAAAGCAGGACTGATAAACATATAACCATGACTTATAGCCTGAAGTCACTGATACTTGTCACAGTAATGCAACAATATATTCATTCATGTTCTAGGAGCAAAGCAGCAAGCCCAGATGCAAATACTTTTCTGGGAGAGTGAACTTCTAAACAACTGGAGAGAGGCAGAGCGAACAGGGAGTGATAAGAGACAGAGACGCTGCTCGTCCCCTGCAGAGGTCCTGTGATCTGCTCTATTGTCGGGGGCCACGACACACAAAGAGCAGCTGGATGTGGTTGAATCAGGAGACGATTACATGCAACGCCAATTGAGTCTGAAAAGGGCTACACAGACTGCAGGGAGTTTCTCTCTCTCTGTCTCTCTTAATACAGAGTGGTTCCTCATGCTGGCCTCAGCTTCTATAGCAGGAGAGAACAGTGTAACCGCTAGACCTTGACACCGACATGGACTTACTCCTGAATGCTGCGGTGTACCTGGCACTGATAAGAATCAAAATATCTGACAAAGTACCCAGTCTATTTTATTCCATCCTTTCACACTACCTTATCTTTTCAGTGTTAGAAAGTAAGTAAGCTGCAGTCAAAGGCCAAAAACATTTGCACAGTTGTGGCTAACATGACCGCATCATGTCAGATATGACAATATACAGTGCATTCAAAAAAAAAATTCTCTCATCAATCTACACTCAATACCTCATAATGACAAAGTGAAAACAGAATTTTAGAAATTTATGCAAATTCATTTGACCATCTTTGAGATGTGTCTACACTTTGACTGGAGTCCACCTGTGGTAATATGGTCTCACAGCTGACAATGCATGTCAGAGCAAAAACCAAGCCATGAGGTGGAGGGAACAGCCGCAGAGCTCAGAGACGGGATTGTGTCGAGACCCAGATCTGGGGAAGGCTACAAAATTTCTTCTGCATTGTAGGTGTGTGTGTGTTTTACACCACTATGGACAATGTTACAAATCAATCAGCTTGACTGCTTCATCGTAATAATAAAAGTTTATGATCTTTGCATCAGTATGATTGAGTATCTTAATTTATCAGGTACTAAATTTGCTAGATTAACCAAAATCAGACATTCCTGTCTGGCTTTTGTATCCATAAACAGTTTCTTAATTGATTTTCCTGAAAAGATTCACTACATTACGATACACATACATATAGATGTTAAAATGCCATATACTGTGATAGAGGAATCAATCCATTTTGCCCAACCGATTCCAACAATGCTCTATATCCCTTTGCCATTCATATATACAGTATAGATCAGATTTGAAACTCTTATTTTAGTGTTTATAGACAGTGTTGTTCCTAAAACTGAGATAATGAATTCAGTCTCATTAATCTCGAGTGAGAGGAACCACCATGGGGAAAATTTTATTGCAGCCTGAAAAAAAGTTGACAAGGATATCCTTGGATATCCCTCAAACTGGTTATAATATTGACCACAGTTTCTTAAATTCCCACCAGCTCAGTAACCAAGGATAAGATATATGAGAAAAGCAGTATCTCCCCTGAAAGTTCAAGAATGAATAATATCCTGATGAGTATTCCTCTTCCATGTTGTCTTTAGCAAAGAAAACTCCCCAAAAAAGCCCTAGACTTACATGCAATGTTGAAATTACACAAACCAAGAATGACATCACCGCTAAAGGGACAAGCCAACAGTGCCTCACATCTCACTCACTGCAAAGGCTAAATGTGTTGGAAATGAAAACAAAAAGAAAAATGTGACTTTTGTTTCTCACTAAATTAAAACCTTTCCTATCAGGCCAGTCAATTACCCCAGACGCTGTGACAGAGATGTGCACACAGATAATAGTAGAAACAGATAGTGTTTCCTGTGTATTACCACAGTTAGCAAGTGTGCTCTTGACCATGAGAGTTATGTAAGTGTCACAGCAAAGGCAGCTCAGTATCCCAGGAACACCTACGACGAACACTCAACTGAATTGCCTTCTTTCTGCATGTGTAACTTAACTCTAACTAATTTAGAACTCTGGTCCTGTGTTATTCATATCTCTCTGGAAAATTTTACAAAGTAATGGAACAAAAAACATCATTCTGCTGACAGTAAAAATAAAGATAAGCAGTAGTTTTTCAACAAAAGAAAAAAAACTTCACTAAAGTGACTTAAAGAAAAGCTATGGGCATTGATGACATGATGGGTGCTAGGCCTGAAGGTTGAATTAGAAGTGAGAGAGAGATGTAGGTATTCAGCCAAAGACATATACGGTCTGAGCCTTAAGCATGTGAAGCAATGGCCCCAAGTAAATTCTGCCTATTCCCCAATTGAGTGTCAATCAAACGTGAGAATCTTAACAGCGGCTGTGGAGAGGATCCCTATAAACCCTTTACCCCCACTACTCACAATGAGAGGCTTTCGTCTGAGGGCCTAACAAGTGTATAAATAAAGTTGATCACTTCCCCTGTCAAAGACAGCATGGAGGGTTTGGGCTGACATGGATTCAAGGAGGGGAGGTGAAAAGGGAAAAAAATGAGTTGAGTGCCTCTCAATCCCCTTCCTCACTTTGACCTGATGGCTTCTCCTGATGTTGAGGTACACAAGTGCAGCTTGGCGGCTCAGTGGTAAAACGTGGAAACAAGGCTGAAGCGCCGCAGGGCACGGGGGGTGGGAGGACGAGGTTAACCCCCCCAAATGACCCTCTCCCACATCTCCACACAAAGGAACTGGCTCTTCTTTTTTGGATTCTTTTAATTAACACTTGCATTGAGGTTGTAAGCATTCAGGGGACGATACAGGGAAAGAATTTTCTCTCTCCCTTAACCCCCTCCCTCCTTTGCCTCTCCCCTTCAACCCTTTCTTCCCTTCTCTACCCTTCTTTTTCTCCCTTTCTCTCCCTTCATTCTTTCTGTGTTTCATTTTTTCTTTTCTATTGTAGGCACTGTTTGGATTAGGTGTCTGGCTGTGAGTGTGAGATAATTACTACTGACAGCTGCACTGACGGCAATCACAACCACACTACCACCTTACTCCACTTTCTCTTTGATGGAGCAAGGGAAGAACAGTGAGAGAAGAGGGGAAAAATGAGACAGAGGAGGGAAAGGAGATAGATAGAGGAAGACATATGGGTGAGAAATACTGTAATTATGAGAAAAAGTAAGACTTGATAAGGAAAAGGATGACAAAAAAGGACAAGTGCACCCCACCCTTAACACCTGTTGGTTTCCTTGTTCGTGCTCCTTTGAGCCTTGCTGTAGGTATGACTCTCCTGATAAGTATCTGGGCTCCTGTACAGTGTGTGTCAGCTAGGAAATACACATAGACACACATCCAAATGCAAATACAGAGCTAGAGACTAAGGAAGGCATAAATAAATGACAGTTTGATCTGTGGGATGCTTCACAGTGGATGTTGTGGTGTTATCTCCTCTGTGCTTGTACACAGTGGGAGGGGGGGAGGGGGTCTAAAAGGTGCTTATGATGAAGAGCATCCCCCTCCTCAAAAAACATTTCATTGAGATGGGTGCTTCAAAGAAAGCATAAGAAATGTTAGAAAATGAGACAGACAGACTAACTCAATGCTGAATGTCACCTGAAGGCAGCCTTCAGTTACACAAGGGAGGGGGGCTCTGCCGGAGCTTACGGCTGAGCCTCGTTGCTACGGAAACAACCTGGCCCCCCCTCAATATACCCTCAGTTTCATAGGCCCCTATCAGGTAGAAGAGGATTCCATTAATGCCAGCTGGGAAATGGAGGGAGGTGCTGGCCTATAAGGCAAGGCACCTCTCCGAGGCTCCACAGCATTAATACATTAGCAAACACCATGAAACACTGCATAAATGTCAGCAATTACTGACTGAGAAGGAAGGGTGGGTGGTGGTGGGTGAAAAGATGAGGGGATATAATAAGGATGTCCCACTGGCTGTCAATCACTCCAACAGGTGTGGAGAGTAGACTGCCAATCAAAACAGCTCCAATGAGATGAGGCCTGTCTGGGAACTCTCCTTTCTGTATTGTTTAGGCGAAGGGCTAGAAGAGGAGAGGGAGACGGAGGAGGCAGAGGAAGAGCCTCAATCAGCGTCTTTCAAACAGCACAGGAAGTTAACGTTCTGTAGGCCTCTCAAGTCAACTGTTGCCAAGACCTCTGTCAACATCTTCAGCACTGCTCGGAAACAGCTTTGCCAAAGCCACAAGAATCAGGATGAATTTGAAGGCAGAGCTAGATGATGGTATTTGAAAATAATGCCAGAGTATTTGTTTTAATCTACTTGGAGTAAAATGAATTCCATCAAGTTTTAACTATAGCAAAGTCCAACAAGTGTACTTCTCTCTGATGGAGGACTTTTCCAGTACTATCATGACTGTTGTGACGCAGTAAACCCGATGAAAATGAAAAGAAATGCCAAAACAAACACACACAAAAAGACAGTGTGCTTCCCCATATGATCCTCTACTTGGCTAGTCTGATAAATAGTACAAACTGTCTTCTGATTAATCTGAGAGGAACAATGGAATTACAGCACCTAAAAATGTGCTCAAGAAAGACTTGAAATGCTGACTAATAAGTGACAGGTGGACTTTCACGTGTCAGGTGTGTTTTAGGTAACTGTTACATTAGCATCATACAGTATATTAAGCAAGCAAGAAAATAAAAAGATATAACTGGGTCTGATATGCTTACCAGTTCAAATTGTTCAAATTAACAGCAACATTTGTGGCTAACAATGCAGAAGTTGATGAAGATTAATAAAAAAAATGTGTTGTAACATAGATAAAGTATTATTGAAGTTAATGTTTTTACAGTGTTGTGATTTACCTATGCTACATTAACACTAAGAAACATTCAAATTACTACTTGACCCCGGTCAACACAATCTGCCCGCTAAAAATGAGCAACACCTCACGTTGCTACTGCTTCAACTACACTTTGCACCACTTCCTTTCACATTCAAACTTCCTTAGTCCAACACCAAATACAATAACACAGTGCTCTCAATAAACTGTTGTGTTGTCCACTGCTATTTGAGCATTATCCATCCTGATCCAGTTTCAACTCTCCATAAGGCCTTGAATAATTCAGAGCACAATAAACAATGAAACACATTGAGTGGACTGTATCAGGGAGGGTGACGCAACACATAACTATTAGTTTCCCTGAAAGGTGAGAATGTCTTTATAACAAACTAATTTCCTACGCTCTAACAATACAACAACTCAAACAACTTTCTCAGAACACATGAACAACAGAAGATACTCAGCTGATCTTCTTGCCTACAACCTTTTTTTTTTTTTTTTTTTTACAACTTATGAGCAACCAACCATATCTTAGAAACGAACATGGAACTATCAACTCAATTACTACAGCAATCTCACTAGAAACAACTGCACTAACATTGTCACAGTAAGTGCTGAGTATTGTGGAAATTTTGTTTTGATGCTGTTGCCAATACAATACTGGAGTTTCTGCACCTATATCAAAATTATTTATTTATTTAAACTAATTTCTCTCTGAAAAAAAACATTTATTTTTACATTTAAACCAAATATCAAAAGCTATAATACTGCAAATAAAAAGAAACAGTATAATATTAGCAAAACTAAGTATTGAGATTTGATAGACAGCCTGAGACACAGTATGTTTAGTAAGACAGGCACATTTGCAAACACACAAATGCAAATATACACACAAACACAAATGCAAGCAGGCAAACACAGTTTTATCACACACTTAAAGGCAAAGCAGAGTTAAGTAGTAATCGATTCCACTGCAAGCGGGCTCGTGTGCAGAGCTAAACGTAATCTGGGGCCTCTGGCTGCCATGTTTATTGGTCCAAACCCGGGAGATGAGACTGGGCTAATGAGCTAGACACTAATACTGGCTCTCTACCCGCCTGCTAGGCCAGCCAAGCCCTGGGCTTTCTCTGTTAATACCTTCAGACGTTTCAATAAGAGAGCGGTGGCTAGAGCAGAGGCCATTATTACACTTCTGTCTCTGTGCTTTTTAATATCTCCTCATCCAGGAAACACAGACGCTGCAGATATGTGTTAGCCAGGTGCCGACTCGGCCTATGATGCCACAATGAGCTGCAACCTATTCATGATCCCTGGCCATCATATCCATAGCTACCTATGGGGAAAGGCTGATAACAGATCACTGAGATCATTGAGATTGGTAGGGCTTACTTTGCAATGGAATTCACAAACATCCCTGCATTAAAGGTTTTTAGTGGTTAGGTCACATGTTTTGCAAATGAAATACATCAGAATGCTTTAACACCACTCATAAATTTACAAAAATCAGTGTATTTATTTATTTTATACATACTTAAAAATTTACTATCACTGAGCACTTTATTAGGAACACCATACTAACACTGGGTACGGCCTCATGCTCCTCTCAAAACAGCCTCATTTCTTTGTAGCATGAATTCCACAAGATGTTGGAAACAGTCCCTTGAGTTTCTGCTCCATGTTGACATGACTGCATCACATAATTTCTGCAGATTTGTCAGCTGCACATTCATGCTGCCAATCTCCCATTCTACCTTTGTTACATGTTGCACCATCATGCTGGAAGTAGCCATTAGAAAATGGTAAATTGTGGCCATGAAGGCACATGGTCAGCAACAATACTCACATAGATTGTAGCATTGAAACGATGGTTGATTGGTATTAACGGGACCCAAGTGTGCCAAGAAAACATTCCCCACACCATTACACTACGACCACCAGCCTGAACTGTTGACATAAGGAAGGTTGGGTTAATGGATTCATGCTGTTGATGCCAAATTCGGACCCTATCATGTGCGTGGCTGAGCAGAGATCCAGATCCATCAGACCAGGCTACATTTTTCCAGTTGTCAACTTTCCAGTGTTTGTGAGCTTGTGCCCACTGCAGCCTCAGATTTCTGTTGTTTGCTGACAGGAGTGGAACTGATGTGGTCTTCTGCTGTTGTAGCCCATCTACCTCAAGGTTTGACATGTGCTTTCTGAGATGCTTTTCTGCTCACTACAGTTGTAAATCATGGTTATCTGAGTAACCATAGCCTTTCTGTCAGCTCCAACCAGTCTGCCCGTTCTTTTCTGACCTCTATCATCAACAAGGTGTTTCTGTCCACAAAACTACTGCTGCTCACTGGATGTTTTTTGTTTTTGGCAACATTCTGAGTAAAAACTCTAGAAACTGTCAGCAGTGCCATGGTCAAAGTCACAGAGATCACATTTTTTCCCCATTTTGATGTTTGATGTGGACATTAATTGAAGCTTCTGACCTGTATCTGTATGATTTTATGTACTGCACTGCCACCACAATTGGCACTTGGATAAGTGCATGAGTAATCAGTTGTACATGTGTTCTTAATAAAGTGCTTGGTGAGTGTACAACTGATTTTTGAAATATTAATAACAGCTATTAGTTATTTGAGATCATAGAGGAAAAGAAATTTAAAGTGGAATGAGTTATTAAATATTTTCAGGCTTCACGATGTAATGATGTTTCCATTCATTAGTGTCACATTAGAAAAAAGAAGTACAAAGGTATTCAGGCAAGGGAAACACAATGTGTATTCAAAAATAAGTAATAAGTAATTCATTTGATCATTGTTCCTGTTCCAGTTCAATCTACTGCAGCTGGACACAGCAACAGCTTGAACTCAATTTTAAAAAATGTCGTTGGTTAGCTCTCTTCCTCTGTTAATGTGAAGAGGAAAGTCATAAAGTGCAAACTGCATGTTGTGGTTGCAAACTGGAAAAGTAACAAATTTGTTCCCATAATACACAAGCATGTTCACTCAAAACTCAAGTTAGTCATTCAGATTATTCAGATCTGAATTAAGATTTCTGTTGCTATCCCAGGCTGTTTACTGATCACATAAGTGGATGTCTACAAAAATAATGCTAACCATGATATTGTTTGGTGGTTAACGGGTTTACAATTGCCTGCTGTGAGATGGAATGGAACAAAATAAAGCAAACAATGTTGTGTAGTGAAAGGATGCATAACCTTTTATCCTTTGCCCTTTCAAGCACATTAATGGTACAATATATTTGCTTTCTCTGCTTAAAAGCTTTACTTTGAGTCACCACTATGACTGGTGTTCATTGCAGTTTTTGAAACATAAAATAGAACATAAATAGAAACTCTAGTCTATTTGCTACAGTAGAGCCAATTTTGGCATAGGGCACATATGACAACACTCAGAAAAAAAGAAACAAAGTCAATATGAATACTCTAAACTAAACAGCAATCACATAGATCTAAAAGGAAAACGTTAGCTAGGGGTTAACACAAGAATGTGTACACAACAGCTCCTCAATGTTGCATGATAAACCATCCCATACAATTAGCATGGGAACACATATGCTGTCAAAGAAGGGGTGAGACAAAAGGGGTCAGAGGTTCCTCAAGGTTCTGTATGAGGGCTGCTTCTGATCAGCTTGACTGTGTGCAGGGTGAATGGCTGGGAAGAGCGACCCTAGTACGGGAGAGGTCAGCGGGACTCAATGATGTGAGCTTTAATGTCCACAGATAGAGGACACAGGATGGGAACCATCTTTGACATCTTAATTAGCTTCAACATCTTACTTTTATGCTTCGGCATGGATGGCATGGATTAGACACAGACACAGAGTGTGGAACAGTTTCCACTCCTCTTTGCAATTATTAAAATAATGCAATTTAATTATCTGTAAACCATGTATTTTAATCTGTACTGCTTTCTAATTATCTTTAAGACCAAAATCTTGGATCAAAGAACCATTTAGGGCAACATGCCAGACAGCATTTACAGTACACAACAAAGTGAGGACAGGTTAGATTTTTCCTGTAGAACTGTTATAGTACGTCTGGCTAACAAGTCTCAATTTTGGATCGTGTTTGTGTGTGTGTGCCTCTTACAGAATCATCAGATGCTGACGCAGGCCATCCCTCCCACTGTTGATGCCGGACTGGGATGTTGGTCAAGTCTGAAATATTCCTCTTCACCTGCAAACAAAGTTAAAATTATTACTGTACATTCAATTACAAAAATTGGATTTGCACAACATTAGTAAAAAAGGGTTAAAAAACATGAGAACTAGTTCAACTTTGACTCTCCACTAGGAGTTTTACAACTCTCTTTACAATTCCATCTTTAAAAGCAACTGTCTTAGCGGCATCATAATTAGAAAATATTCCTTTTCCATCAAGTACTCTCTATTCAGCAGCATGAGGTAAAACTAGGATGGAGGCAAAGAACTAAGGAGAAGATGAGACAAAAGCAGGGAGGAGGCGAAAAAAATAAAAAACACAGCCAGTGTTATCAGCATTCTTCAGATGCCACAGCTAATGCCCAGCAACAACAGCCCCACGCTCTGAAATGAACAGTATTTCTCTTCTCCCATTCATGCGCGGACGCTGTATCTGCATCACTTAATAACATTCCGTGCTTTTAAACAGTTAGCAGCCAGCAACGCCTGTCCCACCGAGCGCCGTGTTACACCGTCCAGTGGGTTGTTGGTTTAAAGCCCTAACGCCAGCCTGATGTGCGCCAGCCGAAGCTGATCAAAGCCCCGTCGGCGTCTGAGCGCTGGCGGCCGTGGATTTGAATGGATTTGTTCAGTAGAAGTCTGCCATTCGGGCCCGCAGGGCTGGACACTGATGCTGAGAAAACTGTCTATTGTGGAACAAAGATCCCTCCACACACGGGTCAAATCCTGTCTTTGTAAAAAGCACTGAGGAGAGATGGATCCTTGGGCATATGCAGGGCTACTGATCATGGAGGTGGAAACTTAAAGAACGCTACAAACACAAAGTCAAAGCCAATGTCAAGCAAAGCAGGAAAGCAGCTGCAAAACACTGAACTATGAAGACTGTGGGGGCAGACTTTGCTTGGGCTCTTGCACCTTAACACTCTAATGTTACGACAATTTGCATCTGTATATGTACTTGTGTGGGTTTCTAAAACCACAGGCACATAATGGCCTGTTTCAAGAAATGATTATATCTAAATCTGAATTTATCCCTTTATCAGGGCAACAGTACATATAAGTTATCAATCTCTCAAAGAAATTATATTTTATTTGTGCTCGGCCTGGCACAGCAAAGCAATCTGCAGTACAAACAAACTGAGAAAAAAAATAAAAGAACAATAATAAATGAGTGGCACAGTCCTTTGTCTTACTATCGTAAATCCCACACCACACTGCTCGGTGCCTATCCTTATGAAGAGAAGCTATGGCCAGGATAGCAGGCTAGGGTCAGAGCGGGTGGCCAGTGTTATTACAGAGTGTAATATCTATGTTTGACCAGCCGGACTACAGGGATTTGACTGACCGGCTGGCCGGCCGATGAATAGAGGGGAAAAGGGAGGAAAGGAGAGGCATAAACACTAGTAATGAAGAGGCTGCAGTCAGAGGTTAAAGCAGCATCAGAGAAACAACAAACTAACGCCCACCACAGAGAGAGTGGAGGTGAGAGGTGGAGGAGAAGGAGGAGGAGGAGGAGGAGGAGAGTGGAGACAGACAGCAAAAGACACCTGGCAGAGGACAACCTGATCTCACCACAAAAAGAAAACACAGCTACACAGCAGGCCTGCCCACCTGAAACTACACCACCAGAATCTGTAGCCAGATATTTACATTGGTCTTCTCTGGTCTTATGAAAAGTATGGTGCAATTATGAGAATCTGATGCAACCATATCATAAAAAAATAAAGTAAGTTACAGCATACAGTAAGCGAATAACAGGGTGACACAATGCCTTGCCCTAGCCTCTCCAGGTAGTCGAAGTCTTTGCTGTAGTCCCTGGCTACAAAGCAATGCATGTGTTGGCCACAGCAGCAACCATAGAGGTAGCAATACTGTCTAATGCTGCCCCCTGTCTGCCAAAACAGCAATCTTACTGATAAGTTAGACTGCAACAAATTAAAACAATTATATTTAATCCTTGACTCCAAGGAACACATTTTACATAACAAATTCCTTCTTACAATAACCAGCTAAAACCTGTTTGACCTAAAACAATAGAGTACTGGAGGAATGGCAATATATGACAATGGGCTGTGTATCTTAATAAGCAGAAAGACTCATAAGAAACTCATGAAATTAATCTATCAACCTGACCTGCACATAAAAAAGCTAAAATGTAAAGGAAAACAGAGCAGAGGAGGATTTAAATCAAATACAGCGCTGCTGATTTGTGTGCTGCTGTTCGTGTTGAGATGAGGCAGGGGTGTACGAGCCAGTTATACACAACATTAGCTAGACTGGCTGTGGTGCTGAGCTGCTGGCAATATGCCTCACGGCAAAATTAATGATCCAATCATTGTAAATGCCAATTGCCTGTAATCCCTGGCTGGAAGCAAATCAAAGAGAAGGAAAGGTTTCCGTTAAACAGTCACAAGCTCTCTCTCGCTCTCTTTCTTCATCTCCCCTAGGCACCAGATGCCTTTCTTTCATTCCCTTTTCGATCCAGCCTTCTTTTTCTCAGCTCTGTAGCTCTGTCTGCATTTGGTTCCTATATGTCTCCCAGCTGCGGAGCAGGGATGGGGCCCAGACCCAGCCCCGGGGGGCAGTAGAGGAGGGAAATCCCCAGGACAACTGGTCTGGTCACGGACAGCTCAGGACCCAGCAGCCATCCCTATTCTACCCTCTACTTCCCTGGCAAACATTTGCTCTCCAGCTTAGCTCAGAAGCTAGCCAGCAACTTACCCCCACACTCTTGTCTGGTAATGCCAATCAGAGTCTACACAGCCCTGTGCTCTAGAGATGGAGAAGAAAGAAGGTAGAGAGGGGACACTGGGATAGAAAGATGGAGAATGAAGGGATAGAAAGGGAGGGGCAAGGGCAGTTCCCTGAGAGCCACAAGGCAAAGCCAGAGCCTTTGGTAAAGACAAACAAGAAGACAGGACTCTATCCCTATTGATATGCACAAGCAGGGACCATCGGCTAGTCTTCATCTAAGACAAAAGGGAGAATGGGGAGAGAAAGGTGCTCTGTAGTGGAGTCCATATGTGTCTGTGAGTGGACACAGTATGAGGAGAAAGGGGAGTCAGGCAGGCTGAATATGGTGTTACTTCTTTGTTGCGTTCTTAAGTCTTGTTATGATAACAGAAATACACTACTCCCCCTTTTGTTTGCATCTTACTATTGTTTTTATCTCAGATTTTCACAGTCTAACTCCTTGTCTTTTCTATGAACATCATAAGTTATTCAAAAGCAACATCACTGAGCTCACCCACGCCTGTAATGATTATACTTGCACCTGTAGATCTACACACAGACTACTGAACCATCTGAATCAGTCCCTAAATGGTGTATAGACGTGGTTTAATGATATATTATTTCCAAACACATTACAGTAATAAAGAAGGAAAGAAGCCTGCTCCCTTGCCAAAGAGTAAATATATAAAGAGCATGGCCAACATGGGGCAAACAGAGTCCAGATCTATGCAGGTTAAAGTTCTGGGCCTCATTTTCACTGTAGGGGGCCTTGAGATGCCTAAGGACAAGCATGCGTAAGGAAAAGACCACGACATGGAGGCCTGTTTAAGCCCACATTGTCCCTTCTCTATCCCCTATGGCCTCTTACAGCACCCCCACCAAGCCAACAGTCCTTTGCCTCCTTTCTGTGTCCATGGTTCCCCCCTCCCACACCGCAGGAACCCCTCCCCAGTGTTTGTAATCCCAGCAGAAACACTTAAGGTTCACAGTGGGTGCTCATCAAAACCATCTGCCTAAGAAGAGAGTGAGAGAGAAAGAGAGAGATGACAGAGGGAGGAGAAAAAGGAAAGAGTGAGGGAGGAGAAGTAGAAAACCAGGGAGGCAAACCGCCTCCTCCAGTTCAGATGTTGGATGTACTAATCTGTTCAATTAGCACCATTACAAGCCCTGCTAGTAGCCTCATTATTATTAGTGTAATCTTCACCTACACTGCCATGAGCAAAAGAGCAGGAACACCTTTTACTGCTGCCTGAGAATAAATAGACTCATAAAGGATAACCAAACTAAAAAACAGGAAATCAAACTGCTGATATTTCCAATCGCATATACAATATTTGGTGCAAATGGTGACTACTTCATTTACATGCGAACTAAAATCAAGAGCAGTTCTTCTCTGTCCTAGCTGATCAGTCTTTGGGGAGCTTATTTCCTCTCACCTGTGACGGCAGGCTACCCGCTGTGAATAATATATGATGCCTGCTCAGGTCTCCCTCAGCAAAGTGCGGGGGTGGGGGGAGTATAGCAGGACCCATACAGGCCGGTAATACCCATATGTGTGTGTAGGGGAGTGCTCACATGAGCCCAAATATACAAACATGCTTACTCATCTACATAGGCAAGCACACAAATATATTTTCATGCTCTTCAGCCTTTAATCCGTTTGCAGCTGTGATAGCAATAACTGATAGACAGAGAGGTGTACTGCCTTCACACTGACTCCAGTATGAGTAACTATAAATGTTTCATAGGCTGCCAAATCTACTGTTTAGTTTCAGATGAAGAAAATGAATGGACTCTGTCTCTTTCCATTGCTCCTGCATGCCTAGATCAAACAATGTTCAGTCATTTAAACCGCCTCCTAGACTGCTGAGACTGCTGAGAGAGAAGGAGAAAGACGCAGTGTAGGGGGAGTGGGGAGAAAAAGAGGGGGTTGTACAGCTGTGAGAGTAATTATGTGCTTGGAAATGTGATCATTTGTGATGAATAATGAATCGATGGCTGAGATAGACTAGCAATGTTTGGCAAATGGAATGAAAGCTGCGTTATGGGAAACCAGAATCAGGTACGATAATATTATGTATGTGAGAGTCTGTGGGTGAGTTACTGAGGCCGTTTGTGTGCGTCTGTGCATATGAATTGACTTTGTGATGTTCTGCATGGTCTGTGTCTCTGTGCATGCTGGTGTCATACCTCCTGTATGGTTCTGGAGCCGGGGAAGTTGAGGCTGTAGTCCCTCTGGGCCTCGCGGTGACTGATGACCAGCAGGAAGTTCTGGTTTAACGACTCTTGGAGACCACTAAATGAGGAGGGAAAAATTGAAATAGTAAGAAAAAGGGATGAACCCAGTTAAATAAATCAAGAACAGAAAGTGATGGAGAAAAAGAACAAATTAAAGAGGGGAGGCAGAATTATGACCCAACAAGAGGAGGGGGGGGGGGGCAAAGAAAAACAAACATTATCACTAAGAGCGACTGAGTCAAGGAAAGGGCAAGCTGAAACTTGTCAACTAGTGGCAGCCTGCTGCGAGGTGGGTGCCTCCTCAGGGGGCTTGTCGCCCACTTCACTGGTTGTGTCTTAACAAGCCTGGCCAAAGCTGCGCTCGGCACAGCAGGTTACCACAGCTATGACCACCTGCAAAGTAACAGCATGGAGTCCATCAGTCTGCCTTAGTGCTAATAAACGAATATTTAACTGTGACATACAATACAGTTGTAGCACTAACTACCAAATCTGCAGGTTTCACTGGGGTTGTTGACCTTTATCAATGACTCCACAATTACTTTGCCAGTCAGATTTCTGTCTTTCAAAACATATTTGTTTTGGGAAACAGAGCCAACTCCCCATCAGTTTTTAGTTGTTAAGTTCAGTTGAGTGGACAATGCAGCAAGTCAAGGACCAGCACTTTAACTACTTTCTTTCTCAAGCTTAAGAAGCACATAATCAAGAGCCATTATTGTGCATCATGATACACTACCTCTTCAACAGATGCTGCTGGATTACTGCTGTATTTAGCTAACTTCACAGTCACTGCCTGTCTTCTGTAACTGACATAATGATAATGACTATATTTTCATTACAGTTATATCAATTATAATTCTTATCTGTTCATATATAATGCAGGCTACTGTAAGCTGTTGATGAATGTATGACTGATGACTATGCAACACTCCTAAACTTGCCACTATCTCCATCTGCATCAGTTTTAACATGGTGAAAGATTCTTCGGCTTTAGTTGAAATGGATATCATTACAACATGCCACATGACATCCCATAATATCTCACCTCCAACGGAATGAAAAAGTGGACCACTAAATAATCTATAAATCAGTCTATTTATTCATAATGATATGTTAAAAATCTTTTTTGACTCAAAGTATGAGAAACATGCAACATTGGTGGGCAGATGCAACCACTGGTCTGAGATGTCTATGGGATCACAGTGGATGCCATGTACTTCTTGATTTCATTGTGAGCACAGACATGGCAGCAGAGACACGACCTGTCCAAGAGGCCTAAAAGAGCAGAGTTTCTGGACTGGCATCATAGTTGCTCAGTAGCTTACAGCAGTGACAGAGACGCTGTCTCTGAACAATGCAAACGTAGACACTTTGTGTGTTTCACGTAGAGAGGAGGAGGTGGGGGAATCAACTTTTGGAAGCTTCATTTACAATAAGCTGTGAGGTTAAGTAGCGTTTTGAGCAAACGCTGGGTCTGTGAGGCTGAATATCAATGGGAGGCTTAAGGGCCGAAGCAGCCACTTAATCAGGGCTCAGAACCCAAGGAGAGGAGGAAGAGTTGAGAGAAAGAGAGGGATGGGGGAATTAATATGTAGCGCACACATTAATTATGCAATCACACCCTTAATCTGTGCAGATCTGGACGAGCTTATGTTAACAGAAGCTCAAATTTACTGTAATGACAGCATATTTACATTGACTAAAACTGCGAAATCAATATGTAAATGTAATGTTTGTTGTAGCTAACTGGGGAAGATTGGAAATGTGTGGAGTGGGAAGGATGGATGCATATGTAATAGGGCTGAGCAGAAGGATGAGAGAGATGTGTGTGCATGTGTGAGAGAGAGAGTGAGAGAGAGAGAGAGAGAGAGAGAGAGCGAGAGAGAGAGTGAGAGAGAGAGGAGAAATGGAAGGGGTAGGGACACATAAATAAGGATCTAGCTAATATCATGATTATGTTTGGACACAGTCCCGAGCTACTTCTGGCAGGCAGCTAGACCCCTAAATAGACAGAGATAGAGGGTAAACTGAGTGGAAGTGTTACTCTGTCCTTCCAAGCAAAGAAGGAACATCTTATCAGTCATTTATGGCAGGCCGACGAGCCATTTGGTGTGTGTGTGGGTAGAGTTCTGTTCAAGATTTACTTTGAAAAATCAGATCACTTATTGCGCTCTATAGTACAAATATAGCAACTCAAAATATCAAATGCATTCACAAGGGGAAAAAAAAAACTGCCATTCATAGTGAGTCATTCCCTCATCATTTCCCATCTGTCTGAAGAGGCCTGCTGGTTCATAAATAAACAAAACACCCATGTTTCAAGTCTAATATCCCTTTGTCTGGACTGCTTTCACCACTGATGTTGTCAAAGCTGCTGTCTTCTGATAAAAGCAGGCCCCACAAGCAGTACAGGGTTGAAATGTGGATGTCTCCGTGTTTGCTTCTGCCTTCAGAGGTCTCTTTCTCACTCAACACACACACTCTGTGACACTAAGGTCGGCCTGCAACATCTCTGGAGGTACTTGACATGGCATAAGGGTGCCGGGAGGAAAATGTCATTTAACTTTATGGACAGAGAAAATGGAGCGTTTTGCAGGGGAGAAGAGCAGGCTAAACAGATTGGTTTCATTCTGAGGTAAGCCCATCGCCTAAGCTGTGAGTCCCTGCGGCACAGAGCAGACTCTAGACCTTATTAAACTAGCACTGCCAGACACAGAGGCGCACGCGCGCACACACTGTGACATGTGCCTGTAAAACATAAATACCCATATACACACACTCTGTCACATACACATTCTCCCCAACCTCTCACAGACTCATGCATACTCACTGTCATAATGCGTGTTTTCAACTGCTAAGAGACACACTTAAACACTTCCGACATTTCCCTTCATCTCAGTTTCATCTAATCTCATCTCAACTCTTAAAAACACATTGACCAGGACAGTACATGCCGACTGATCATCTTGTATGTAATACCTAAAGAGGAGGTCATGAAGCACACACACACCTTACCTCCTCCACATTTTGCATCCACAACAAAGCAGGAGGATGCGAAACCGTTCTGGCTCTGCTCGGTTTTGGTCTGCCATCTTGTCCCAAAGTTAATCAGCATGCTAACCGTTAGCTACTTCCCATCAGGGTTGCTTTAGCTAACCTGTTAGCTATCTCCCTGAAGCATCTGTGTATCTGCTATTGGATAGCTGACACACAGGATGAGGTGGGGGAACAGGAGGCCGCAATAAAAACACACAAAAGCTAATGAATCATTTTTGCAATTTGAAATTTCTTTGAGAGTTCAAATTAAAATAACCTTTCATTGGCAAACATGCTTGCTGAGAGCTGAAGCGGTGAAATAAACGAGGAAGGAAACAGGTTCCATTGAAATATTCATCAGGCCTTCATCATTTATGCAAAAGATTAGCTCCTCCTCAACACCCTCTTGTATTCACAGACAGTCATCAACATAGCCACAGAGAAAAACCTTCCTCAGACTGGGCTTTAACACCGCAGTACTAACTGCACATCACATCGCTAACTAAATAACTACCTGAGATGGATTGGTGCTCAAAGGAAAATCTCCCAAAGCCTCAAGATTTATTTCTAATCAAACAAGAAAACTAAGAGAAGTTTACTCAGCGCGATCATAATGATGGTGCAGCACTATTTAATCAGTCAGTTTGGTTTAGGTGTGTGTGCTGCAAGAGCCAAGCTCTACAAAGTAATTGCCAGGGTTATTACCATTTATGGGAAATTTGCATTTTTACTCAGCAACAATTTGAAGCAAATCAACATTGTGAAATTAAATTTAGGTGGATAACTGTCTTTTCAGAATAAAAAAAACAAACTAGCAAATATAGTTTAGCAGATAGTGATAGTTTCATTAACCTAATTCAAAATATATAATTTACGATTACCTGAGAATATTGGTTAAACAATGGACAATAGCATTAGTAAACACAACACATTTTTACTGAGAAAAATTGTAAGTAAATACACATTTTCCTGCCCTTTCAGATGTTAATCCTGGTTTCATAACACAGAATTCATCCTTAAATACCGAACCACAGCACTATAAGCTTAGCACCGTTAAATGTGTATATTACGCATAATTAATCATAAAGTCTCATCAAGCAACATTATGTATCTGTGAGTTATAATCATGTCATGAAGCTGTCAATTGATACTACCACAAGGAGTGACCAAAGTTGGAAATTTACAAATTCTTATAAGCAAAACAAAGTAAAGTAATGAGACAACAGATAGAGACCTTGTGTCTTCTTGAGCAATAGTTAAAGTGGGAAGAGTTAAAATACTGTAAAAATTAATAAAATGAAAAATGAAATAACTGTGGTTTATAGGAGGAGACTTACAACTGTGATTACTATAGTGGATCTAGGTAGAGGTACCAGATCAGATCATTCATCTCAGCAGAACACATTAGTACCTGGAGTTGCTATGGCGATAATATGTGCGTCCCTACCAGCAAACTTTAGGTTGAGGCCTTTACTGGCGCTGAGCTCTGTCTACTGCAACAAATTTGCACACACTGCACAGTAAATTGCCCGTGCTGTAGATATACGGTGTGACCACAGTTTATTTTTAATGCAGGCTAACAGTTCGTCTGCTTCCACTACAGGGGACTGCCCCCCCCCATATTCTGTGATCTGTCACCTATCCTCTCTCAGTATAACAGCAGGGTCACCATACACACACACACACACACACACATTTATATACAAATGCATGTGCATATACACTGGAGCTCACCCACTCCATTCAGCCCCAACTGTCCTCCACCAAAATAGCTGACACAGAATAATGAGCTCCTGACACCCAAAATGATAGCGATAACACTTGGAGAAATGGCAACGGTGCTGCTAAAAAGACACAGCAGTAAGTGAGGGAGTGAGAAGACGAGGAAAAGACGAGGAAAGACAGAGAAGGGAGAGCGAGGGAGGAAAGACTGGGGAGATGAGGGCCATTAGCTGCCAACACAATATAACTACCACTTAGCCTAACTAGCAGACAAAGCGGCAAACTGCCAGATGACTTCTGGGGAGGGCTAAAGTGCAATTTTTATTTTGAATCCACTGTCAACAAACAAACTTGGGCCATTAGATGTGAGATTATAAACATCTCTCCATAATCAAGGCCATGTATCTGAGAGAAGTAAAACTGAAAATTTTAAAAAGATCTATTATTATGATCCTATCTCATTTTTTTTCCCAGTGACGTGCAATTACGCTTAAACAATTCATAGATATAGTAAAATTGGCAATCAGAGAAAGTTATACTGAAAAGTGTCCCAGGGTGTACTTCACAACTCTGCTAAACAGAAGCGATTTAAACAATATTTTTAATAAGATTTTTTAAGTCAGGATTTAGACTGACAGCTGTCTTTAAGCCTCTAGGTTAGCCTTTTGTTTCTTATCCTTAATGCAGGTGAACTGGATCTGAAACAACAGCTCTCAAATGTCTCATGAAAAATTACTTTCAACAAAATTTATTAATATTAAGAGTACAAAATTCAATTGTTTAACGGCATTGCTTGCGATAAAAAAAAATCTCTGTTGAATTGATTTTTTTTTTGTTAATAGACATTACTGTCATCAGAGTGAGGCCAAATAATGATGAGCAGCATAGGCTTCTAAAAATATGAGCCATTCCTTTAATTATTACAGGAGTGGCACAGTACATCCTCATCTTCCTAATTTGGCCTAGAAATGTCTGCAATCCACAAGACATTGACACCCAGCTCTCACACACACACACACACACACACACACACACACACACACACACACACACACACACACACACACACACACACAAGCACAACGATCTCAAGCTCTCCAGCCATAACATACATAGCAATTAGCAGTGCAAAGTATGGACCCTCACATGTATTTATTTTTACAAGTCCAATGCCCCTCAAATTAAAACTAAAAAGGCTCCTGCTCACCCAACAATAAACAGGTGAAATGACAGGAGAAATATGACTTATTCGGATGATCTTTACCTGACACTGATGAAAGGACAATCACACATTCAGCTGCCACCTGTGATTGTATTACTTCAATGACTTGACACCGAGCTGCCTGACATTTCACAAGGTAAGGTTGCTAATACTGCCACGCATTCACCGAGATGAACACAACAAGCTCTGTATGGTGAACACTGGCTTAATTAACCTTTCTCAACATATCTCTACTGTCACTGGGTGATATCACTAATGTGACAGACTGATGGGTTTTGAAAAAAGGAACAAATAATAAATATGAAGTGTGGATATCATATCCACACTAAAGAATAAAATGCAAAACAACCTTCAGCAAGCAACAATGTCAGGCTAAAAGATACAAAGAAAGAAAATTATTATTTACACAACACACAGAGCCTACACCAGTAGAACCTCCTCTCAAAATGTCACAAAGGATGTGAGAAAATGAATGTGCAGCAGAGGGTCAAATGTCTCTTAATATACCAATGAAAATGGAATTTTCTGGCTGGATTCTGTCAGCAAATTCTTCATAACTGGATATAGACCGCCACCTGGTGTTCACTAACACATACCACACTCATGCCGGTACCAGTAGTATTTCATAGTGTGTGTGTATGTGCAGCAGGATGTGGAGAAGATGAGGATTTATTGTGAGATTACACATATAAAGAAGAGTAAGTGAGTGCTGGACTGAATACCTGTTTTTGCTGGTGCTGGCAGTAGCGGCAATGTCTGGTGTCAGGACATACAGGCTGTTGTTCTTGGGCAGGTGTAAACTTCTCAGCAGCGTCTGAATACACACATAGATACACACACACACACATACATACAACTTGAAGATTTCTAACTGTGGAGATAATGATTTGTTGAAGGACTATTGTTGAGGGTCCACTACATCTGAATTGATATTTGTCGTGCTCTTAAAACTTTTGCATCTCCTGATGAATATTTTGAGGGGAGCCCCTTACTCTACTTGGTTGGAATTAGAACTATTGTTTGTGGGAACATAAAATAGTTTTACTAATTGTGGGATAAGCCACAGGCCTGTGTGCAGCCTGGTAAACTGAGCAAGGTCATGAGGGCCAGAGGTGTGAACTCGTGGCCATAAATGTTTAATATGAACACCCTCATGGTTTTATAGGATGTTTTGAGTAACAGTGTAAAACTAATTAATAAATGCTATGTTCTGATACTACAAAGAAAAGAGAATTAAGCAGTACAACATTGTAACTGTGCACAGGCAGAGCAGGGAATGAACATACACTGTGATGTGAATGTTCATTACAGGACACACCTAAAAAGTCAAATCACATTTCTTTAGATTAAGACACAGAGTACAGTGTCAAATTGCGAAAACAAAACAAAAGAAGAAAATATAAAAGACTACAGGTTTAGCTCATGTCTCTTCATATCTCCAATGCTGTTTGTCTTTTCTTAGTGGCCCAAGGTCTTTTTTCATTTGGATGTTTGTGAAAAACATTTTTAAGGTCTATGAACTCACACTATCAGATACATCTCCACTCTTCCAACCCTTCAGCTGCATTTTGGACACTGGAACTCCAAGCTCTGTTTCAAGGATTTGTTTGATTTCTCCTGTAAATCAAATTTATGCAGACCAGAGGAAAAATTATATTTCATCTTAACATTTATGCACAACATTATTATGAGTATTACACAGTATCAGTGTGTATGTGTGGTGCTCACCAACTGTGCTGCCTTCCTCCAGCACCAGCTCTACAGACCGCTGCCGGTACTCCACCCTGAAGTTGAGCATCCGGGGCTGACGCTCTACAATGTGTCGGGAGGTGGGGTTGACTGGGCAAAAAGCGGAAGTCGAGGATGATGGAGGAGAGGAGGACGATGACGAAGAAGAAGGGGGAGGAACTGAACCTCCAGCTGCTGCATCGGCTGCTTCTGATTGGCTAGGAGGTCCGTACATGCTGGCCTGGCTCGCCTCACTGGAAAAGTTACTGTACAGAAATGAAAAGTTTACTGATGGCGTGGATGATTGAGTGCACAGACTTCATACAATATCTTAAAAATGTCAGATCATAAAAGACAGAAGTGGACAGTTAGAAGAAGCAGTCTAAACATAAAAGATTCTATCAGAAACGAGACAGAAAAAAATGCAAACAACAAATGCTTCCATCCCTTACAATATCTGCTTATTTTCTCTTTTCTGCTTGCTCAGTGTATGACCCATGTTTCACACTACACAGTAAATAATGTCTTTTTACTCTTGACCATGAACAAAGTGTGCCCTTTGTTCCTTGAAGTGTAAGCAGCAACTGTCTTGCAAGAACTGGGTGCCAGACTCAGGCTTTTTAACAAAGGCTGTATTTTATTTGGCCCACCACAGTGGAGAGGCCACTGTCCTGAGGCGTAGGTCGACTGTCAACAGCCACAAAACCTCCACATACAGACTGGGCCAATAGTGGGGGAATTAACCAAACCAAATGGTAGCACATTGTAACTGTCTCCTCCACCAACCACTTCAGTAACAAACACACTTTAACAAACACAACCAATTATTTGAAGATCGAAGTCCTTCCTAAAATTATAACTGGACAAGTAGAATAGTTGCTGAACCTAAGAAAAAAAATTAACTACTGTTTAACAATCACATACTGATGTCTCTCAATATTGACCCAATTTCTGAGACTATGTGTCAAGGCTGGGTGAGTAACAGACATTAAGTTACCTTTTAGATTCAAGCATATGAGTAATTAATACAAAAACACACATTAATCCCTCTTTATGTCATGAAAGCATCTGAACGTTTGAAACAGCATAGATGGCAAGCGGCATGAAAGAGGATTTAAGGCATACTTTGAATACAATGTAAATATTTTGGACTTTTAATGGACATGGCAGTATTTTGAGGAGGCTATTGATTGTTATTGATTATTCAGCACAATATAAAACTACCACTAAGGTGAACCAGAGTAATAAGTACAACCATGTCACATATTATGAGTAGACAGGGAGAAAGGCATGATATTCAAATGAGACGGCTGAAGTAGCGCCAGATTTTACTCCAAATAGCAAGGAAAAACATGAGAGATCCTGCCAAGAGGATTCTTACACTTCTCAAAAGCATCTGGGAAAAAAAATGATTTAAAGCGAGAACTCTCACAAACAAGTAAAAGGGATCCTGAGTGCACTTTCACCTAAACTTGGCACAGTAACATTGAAGGCCGTTAAATTGTCCGTTGTTGCTGTTTGGGCCTAGTTGCATGCTGCCCTACATCTAGATGGCAGTGTTCCCCTGTGCAGTCCAGGACGTGTTCTAAAGCAGACAAAGCTGAGCCCTTCACCCATGGACAAAGTGTCTGGACCAGAGACTAAGTTCAACAGAGGATTCAGCTTTTTTATTAAGTCCTACCAGGTAATGTTTTGATGGCCTGAAGGATTTGTTACCGATCAACAAGGTGAGCTTCTTTTAATTTTCAATCTTTTTACTAAAGAGGACACAATGGAGGGGGGAAATGCATTTTAGACAAGAGCATTGGCATGGCCTCCAACTGGCCCCAGCTCAGGTCACGTCATCAGAGTCTGTTTACTGGGCAACACCAGCCTACTCATACCAGTGCCAGCCACTTAGTAAATGTGTTGGCGGCTGGTCACACTGCCAACCAGCCCCCATTCATAGCAATGTGTGCCCTTGAGAAAGACCAGCAATATTCTCATGGCCCAAGGGCCTGAACCACACTAAAGCACATGCATGCATGCGCACACATGCACACAAGTGTGTACACAAAATAAAGCGGTTTAACAGAACGTCTCCAGTTTGAGTGGGTTCAGATCAGCTCACTGCATTCATGAGTGTCAACTAACCGTTGAAGGAAAGTGGAGGGCACAAAGCCTCTTAAAGAAACCTTTTCTATTCAGAAACTGTGTACAACTCCACACTTGGCAGAAAATTTCCTTGCAGTTGCAGTGTCTTTTATATTGTTCCTCTCTTAAACAGCAACGCAGAAACCATAGCAGGAGCAATAACCTCCAACTCAGTAGCATCAAAGTAAGTGTTATTTGCTGGCTATGTATTTATATGTACATGTTTCTATTAAACAACAATTACTTGAAGATTTAACATCAAAATTTTGTTTCATCATGGAAGCAGGCGATGCAGAAAATGTATTCCAATCAGTTCTGTCCTATTCAAGTGGTGTACATATTATACCCACTGTTAGGTACAAGTTAGGTACAAGTTAATGGAAAAAATCAAGACAGACACTAAACCTGCAACTTCACATTGCCTAGTCATTGCCAAGGTAAGAAGTTCAACATCCTGTTGATAAAATCAGACTTTATTTTCACATTTCCTGTATTCTTTGAAAGTCGCTTTGCACGTTAGTGATGCACACTGGTGTCACAAATGTCACCCCTCAGTGGTGTATATTCCAAATCCCTCACCAACTATTCACATATCTCCTTAGCATTCTCTCATAGTTTTTTTATATGACCATTTCACAACAGAAAGAACAACAGTGCATTGAAAAGTCGAAAATAATACACATGATGTCAGGTAACATTTGGTCAGTGTTGTCAACTGATACATTTTCTCTGATTTACAGTAAAGGTGTAGCAACATGGGTTATTACCTTTGTAAGATCCCATTCTCCTGTGGTATCACCCCATTGATGGCTGCCTGTAATAAAACAGAAGTAAATTATCCAACAGAATACAATGACATTTTCTTGTTTTAGCTGCTGCATTGCATCAATGGGCAGCACTTTGCTACTGTAGTAGACTCTATCCTGTAAAGGTCAACCTATCCCATCTTTATTTATAAAAAAAACAATCAAAACAGTAATCAGCCTAGACTAGCAGATATCATAGTATATCTTATTAATAAAATATTTTGACAGTAACTAAAAGAATCCTCATACATTTCCAAACTTCCAATAAATTTGGTCAACACTTTTTGGATATACAAAGGCACATCTCTGTAAATTGTGTCTTCCCAATTGTGATGTAACATAATAATTAGCAAGTATTTGTTGTATAAGGTATATGCCAACCAGTTGTTCATCATGCCCTGTGAACAAGACAGGGACTGCTATATATATTATATTTGCTTCATACATTGTCAAAAAGAATGGTGCTCTGGTATCAAGTATATTTTGTACCAAAATAAAAAAAAATTAGTTAAATTAACATTGTGGGACCACAACATCAAATGTATCCTTTTTTCACCCAGTTGTAAGTGTCTTACTCCAATCTCAAACTCAACATGCCGCACTTATGTATATATATCTCTCTATATATATATATATATATAGAGAGATATATATTCTTTTTTAGGAAAGGGGACCTCCAACTGGTGGCTTATCACCTGCAAATGTGACTGGTTGGACCAACTACCCAGGCCGCATGCAACCTGGCAAAATGTACCATTTATATTTTGGCTGATTCTGTAACATCATGTTTGTCAGACTGACAGGGAGAGTGTCTGATATTTGCTGGCTGAAAGGCTTCAGACTAAACCTGTCGAAATGCAACAGAGAAGGATGGAGCAACAGAACAAACAGAGCTGAAAGGACAAACATGACAGTAACCACTGTCAGCTTTGCACTGAGCTTTTGTTTGAATGGACAATTGGTTCTCTCAAACACTCACTATTCCTCACTGCAAAACAACCAAACTGAAGTTGTTATGTGCTGCTCTAATCATATCCCTTTTCATTTTTGAATAAAAATATGTAAAGGCAAAAAAAGCACGGTGTGAGGTTCTTACATTAACAATGAAAAACAACCTAAAAAAGTGTCCATAGTCCAATGAGATAATGGATGAATACCTTCAACAAGACAACGCTACCTGTCATTCTACAAGAATTGTTCAGAGAAGTTCAAGAAACATTAAGGTGCAATGAAGTTAATGACATGGCCACCACTATTGTCTCAATCCCACTAAACATCTTAGAGCTGACCTCTAATGCAGTTGATCATCAACATACAAGGCTATATGTAAATTTAAACAGGAGAGGGTATGACTCGCAAAAGATATTTTGACATGTCACAGCAGGAAAAGCAGAGGTGTAAACAATAAAATGAATGATGGCTGAATTCCATTTAGCTGCTTCAGTTTAAGGACCCTGGTATTGTGCATGCTGCCTCCCTGCCACACTGTCATGGCTCACTGGGACACTTGAATGCAATGAAAGCCATTGTTTATGTTACTTGTAACATGAGCTTTTCCTAAAATGATAAGTTAAAGTTTTAATATGTAATTTTTCTACATTACAATGTCAACTAGACCTATGTTTTTTTCAGTTGTGTACTTCAGTTTCCAGCAATTCACAAACCTAGAGAAAAATGTGATTTTAATCATGACAGACAGCTACTTACAGCTAGGACTGCATGGTTTTGACAGATTGAAGAGCATCAGGTAGGCAATGTACTGCGCGTTGTGTGTAAGGATTGAGATCGAAACATTGCATTTAGCCATATTGTGGCATAAATATGACATACTGACCACACAGATGGGCATTGGAGGAGTGGATTATACTGCAGGAGTGGATGTTACTAATATAAATAAAATATAAATATAAAAGTTAAATATACAATGGAAAAAAGAAAATGCCGTAAATGTGATAATTAATGAATGTAGCTATTGATCTTAGATTGTACCATCCCCTTACTCACACAGCATATATACACAAACAGATTTGTTTTGTCAGTATTTACAAAAACTACCAGCTACTGCAGAGAAACTGCAAGTCATCAAATTTACAGATGCAGTGAGTCCAGTGAGTCCTGCCATTGCTCGGACTACGGCTGCGGCGGCTGCGGCGGCTGCGGCGGCTGCGGCGGCGGCTGCTGCTGCTGCTGCTGCTGCCTGTTATGAACTCCTGCCAGCATCAGTCTAAATATAGACTGACCCCCTCCAGTATCCATCTCACGGTAAAGGGCTACTTATTTTTCAGACTCATCAGGACTTAAAACAAACCTAGCAGGACTTATTCTTTCTCACAGTGTCTCTCAAATCAATATTTACTCTGCCACACCTCTCAGGACACTCTCACAGTCACCAAAGTAGAGATAGTCCCGTTGAGATGCTGCCTGCTTAACAAAACATACTGGGGAAAATAATTTGGCCATTACAAAACTACACAGAGTGTGTTATTAGATGTTAACTGCCCTCTTGAACTTGCACTCTAGATGGACTACGCCTGTCTGTCAAAGAGCAAAGTCAAAAGTCTACAGATAATGAACTTACCACTAAATCCCAGTTATTTAGTTCTAACAGAGTGATTGCCTCTGCGATGTTGTCAATTCCAGTGCAAGCCTGTGAAAGGAAAAAACAAAGAAAACGGAATTACAAGAGAGAAATGCACTGTATGACATACTGCAGTTATATATAAAACTGATCTTTCTCAATAAATCAATAAACAATAACATTTTTAACCACTATGGCACTACCCATAACAATAATATTTAAAGTGGTGGCAGTCTTCAAAAGGACAACAGCCACTCAGTGTTGTCTTGATCAAAAAAAGACCACCAATTTCCTCAGATTTCTGCCTTGACTTATTTTCCAGGTTTATGAAAAGACATTATGCATACAAGTACGTTTAAGTAGCAGTTTTCAGCTGCTAGAATTTGTATCCTGTACAAAATGATACCTTTACCTCTTGCAAAGCAGGCTAAGCAAAGTATATTCTTCATAGTACAAAAAGGACTGCGATACTACAAAGTGCATCAGGATATACCAATTCCAATTATAGCTTAATGATATCTTAGATTCAGCCCTTTGTAATCTTCTGCAAGTGCAAAATAAGGCAGAGGATCCAAAGTCTAAGGCATCATGTCCTTTCTTGAACTGATCCTTCTGTTAGTGTAACTGACACAGAATCAAAATAAATTATCTCAAGTAGCAAAACATAACCAGCATGACAATAAATTGTGAGCTGACACCAGCAGGGTTTAAGAGCTATCCCTCATGCAGGTGTGAAAAGGCCCAGAGCAAGATAAAAATTGAGAAAAATTGCTTAAATGTTGTGCAGAGCAGTTGAGCGCCATCTTCCGCTATGTGATTCCAACCTTGTGGAAACGGTATTTATTTGTACCTGTGCCAAAGACAAGATCAGCCAAATGGTTGAGTGGTTTTAGAGCACTTCTTTAGTCATGAAATCATTAGAGAAGCTGGGCAAAAGGCCCAATAAGACAATATGCAGTTTAGCTAAAGGGCAGGTTTAGGAGTTGATGATGCAAACTGCTTTACTAATACTATTAATTGGATGGATTATGGATAGGATATCAGGGAGAACACAAAGACAGTGTTTGAGTAAAAGGTATTATTTAGACACTCCTGTTCCATTGGTTTTCCTGAACTATAGGAACCAGCAGAGAAACAGACATATCCGGAAGTATGTGGATGATACGGTTGACCTGGGTTTACTTTAAGGGCAGGGAACAGGACGATTAACCTGTTGAAGATGAGTTTATAAACTCTTGTGAAGAATATTTCGTAAATCTAAAACCAAGGATGTGATCATCTTATCACCTTAGCACCATTAATAATAACAGGCTGAAAGTGTTGACAGGGAAACTCTGTAAAAAGGACATACAGTACACAGCAGATAATGTAGCAGATAATAAATGTGTTATGTTTTACAAGTCTAAAGAATCAGTGTGCTTTAATCTGTTTGTTTACATCCTCTTTCTTGTAAAACAGAGCAATAAAATTCTTGACAAATTTTCATGTCACCTCTGAGCAAAAAGTGATCAACTGAACCAGGAGAATTATGCCCAGTTGAAGTCACCCTAAAGGGAGAATTTCAGTTTTTATTTTCAATGTGATGATGGCTTAAACGGCGTACAAAAAGGACATATAAAAATGCCTTTACACATCCTGCTTTCTGTTGCTAAACATACAGTCATAAATTCTCATTCTGTTGTGTATGTACATGTATGTTTTTTAAGCACAATATTTTTAGTGTATATATTTCTGTTGGCCAGTAGTCATAAGTCTACATGACTTTGGCTTATTTGTTTTGGTGTCTGCTTGCATATATGTATTGAGATATTTTGTATATTTATATTTTGCATGTTACAGTGGTTTATTAATAACTGTTCAAGATATTACTGTTTGGTCATTTTTAATTCAGTTTGACTAAAGTGAACATCATCCATCTCATGCAGCACAACCCTGGTACACTACTTAACCAGACTTCCAGTAATCACATATCACTTAATCACTACATTACCCAAATTTATCATCATACAGTATCTCATTGCATTCATCTGAAACACATTTTCACAAGGCTGTTGTAAAGGTAGAATGATTAGCTCAACCATGAGGACATTACAAGAATGACCTCGATATTTGAGCATTGTAGCCCTATGTGAGACCTATAAATGTAGGACACAAATTTAAAATGCAGTGTCTTCTTTAGAAATTTGCATTAAATTTATTCAATTGAGGTGTAAACAGACAGAAATTAAGTTTGAAACTGTTTAGGTTTGAGCCCTATGAACTGGCTTTGCAAAGTGGAGTTGTTAGTGGCTTAATTAAACAACACGTCTATTGTGGCCTGTCCTCATCTGAATGAAGGACATCTCTCTCACCCTATCGTCCAAAGCTATAACTATCATGGACGCTATATTACTGCCATTTAGAAAAGGAGGCATACTTGGTAGCCTGTATTTTTTTAATGATCAAAATAGACTTCCCTGCGTGCAAATTGGGCTAAAAACCTGGTATCTTGGACAGTCAACGTTTCTGACGAGGATTAGAAAACCGGACAAAACAACTGGCGATGTGTAAACAAGTTGACAGATAACGTGAGCGCCGTAGCTCTCCTTTTAGCCAACTAGATCAGCGTTATTTGTCAAGCAAGCACACTTGAAACTAGCGAGAAACACTAATTATGCCACTGTTTAGATTGGCAGCTTTGGACTCCCATTGTCTAGTTAGCGAGCTTTCAGCTAATAACTGCCATAAGACTCAGTTAGCAAGCTGTCAGTTTGTTAGCTCGGTGTGCTAGCCACAGAAGCTCAGCTCAGCTTAGGTCTGGTGTTTACGATGGCGGTCAGGTCGTGTGAACTGTTGTTGACAGCAACACAGGGTAATTCAACAACAGCGGACAGATTAGTAACTACTGAATACAATATTTGGGACATACAAAAGAGACACACCTGAAAGTCGGCCAGAATCATTTCTCTATCCATGTTGCTATCGCCGCTTTCGGAGGCCATGGCAATGACTGGCTAAAAGCAATTCTTCTTCCACTGGCTCTCGTCGCTTTCTCGTCTCACAGAAGGACACTGAATATTAATAAAACACTTTACTTAGACGTGGCGACGAAGGCGAAGTTGGCAAATTGGAGATGTTAAACTTTGTCGGGATTTAACAGCTTCAGACACACAAAAATCTGTAAAGTAACGTTGCACTGTTCAGTTATCTCATATCATTATTGTCAGCTCCATCGCTTTACGGCTGCCGTAAAACAGGCTGCAATGAGGTAAAATCTCAAGCCGAGTAGGACGTCAGATGACACTCACAGTTAACTTTTCTGCCTCTTTTTCACGCTGTCGCCACGAAAAAATGTCCCTCTCCCTAAATTAACGTCGTTTCGCTCTGTGCTTAAATACATAAACACGCCTGCCCAGTTTGAATATTCAATCTGTCTTGGGTATTATGTTCAGAAATGTAGACCCCTTACTCAACAGTATGTGATATTCTGTAAGACAGGGGCTTACTTCCAGCACAAGGTTCTGGATTTAAAGTTATTTTACAGCAAAGGACTCCAGAGTTTATAAGACAACCTGTTGATGTGGAGTTCAGACTATAGGCTAAATGCATCCTCACACCTTCTGGTTCAATAAATTAAACTATTACTCCAAAAAAAGTTCCACTTTACACAGACAACTAACTAATATGCTCAACTTTCAGGCGATAGAGCAAAATTAAAACTGGTTACCAATTCCCACAATTATGAATGCGTGTGGCGTGACTGGATTAAACCCACAGTTCCATTCCTAGCAGGACTGTGCGACCCGATTGGATCTTACTATTCTTTTTTCCACACTGTCATACAGTATATCACACTAAATCTGGTCGATTAAAGTGTGCACGCTTGCTGTATAAATCGTATCAAAGTGAGCATATCCTCATGGGCAGTCTATTATCTTCTGCGCTATACGTCTGCGCATGTGTCTTTTGCTCATGAGTATACAGTAAGCTATATCAACATACACCTGACCTCAGCGCTACACCACACACCGAATCAAGGGGTGATGTAACGTCTCGTCACTAGAGGGCAGCATGGAGCAAGGAAAGTGATGGTGCTCCCAACCGATCACATTATTTAAATAAAGCTTCTCTTGCTCTTTTACTGGAAATTATACGCTAAATAAAGCTGAAGTAACCTAGTACACATTGATTGTATCAATATGCTACAATGTAACTGCGTTCTCAGGACTTAAGTGTCTTTGTCGCAGGGCACACTTATCACCGTTGCAGTGTACAACATCATGGTTTCTTTTCCCAAGCTCCGTTAAGATAGCGTCCCGCCTATCATTGCTCTATCCAATCACGCCAGGTCATCTTTTTTTGTAAGAATTTCAAATATTATTTACACAGCTAAGCTGCAAGGGCAAACACACTGTTTCTTACAGCTCAGTCTGTTTTCCAAATGAACCATCCGCGATGTTAGTGAGGATATTTCATTAGGAGCTTTCCTTTCCTCTGTTTGGACATGTAGACATCAGAGTTTGAAAGAAATTCAATCGGACATCGCAGTGACATGCTTCATGGCGGATCATCGCAGCGGGTAGGAATGAAAATGAAACACAGCTCGTGACTGTGCGATCTATGAGCAGATCGTCTCTCCTCTCTCAACTGCTATCTGCCTATGAATGCTGACATTAAAACATGGTAGCCGAATACAGAAATGCACGTTTTAAATGCTGGTAAATTATTTTGAAAATGAGCGGGAAGTGACTGTGAATGACATCACATCATTTGATAATATGCGCAGATATAACGATTTATTCGTTCATGTGTTTATTTATTTGTGTATTTTGTTGCTTGTGTTATTTTTGTGTTGCTTTTTCAGCATTTTACTCGGCTGGAGAAAAAGATGGCACTTACTGAACTGCTGCATGGAGGAATGAAGGCTTGTGTTATGATTTTAATATCATTTAGAGTAAGTTTTTGTTGTTGTTTGTTTTTTGCTTGTTAGTTAGTTTGTTTACCAAATGTCAAGCCTACAAATTTAAGCTTAGGTTACTATACTTGTTATTGGTATTGGTATGGTTATATCCTGTGTATAGAAAAACATTTAGGCCTGTTGTAAATACTTATGTCTTCTGTCAGTCTCCTATAAATAGACATCTGGGAAAATGTACATTAAATACATAAAGCTATCTACTCAGTGTATTGGATTAAATGCAGCACATGCCCAGGATGATCATGAGAGAGTCAGGGATGCCAGATGGAGCTCTAACTGGAAAAAAAATACTTGTTTTTGTTTTCATATTTATGATCTTGAGTGCCACATGCAATGTCACAAGCAAACTGTGTAATATCCACGTATGTAGATTCTTGGATGGAGCTGGGTAAAAGTTAAAGTAAAAGTAATCCTTTTTTTTTTTTTTGTCTGTTAGCATTGAAGATAAGCTGAAATATGAAAAGGATGAAGTTCTGAAGATATATGGAGTTAAATCCACTTTGTCAAAAACATTTTGCATATATCCTACTCCCAAAAATCAGTGTCATTAGGCTTCTTTAATGCATTAAAAATATACATATACATATATTTTTTATTTTTTTACAGTGCCAGAATATGAGCTATGTAGGTCATGCCCCTGTATGATGTAAGTGTGGGGAGGTGTCTTCGAGATATATTTGAGGACCTACGGTTTTGGATTCTACAAGTTTTCCACAAAGCCTGACAAACATATTGCCCTCTCTCTGTTTATATTTTTTACAAGAATGGCAGACAGCTTACTGACTAACAAGCTCTGCAGTGCCTCTGCCAGGGGAGACCTAGATGGTGTAAAACTTTTGCTACAAGGTGGAGCAAATGTGAATGGATTTAATGAATTCAACAGAACTGCACTCCAGGTTTGTGTGGACCTCCTTCAGATTGGTTTGTGTCGAAGTGAATGTAGCAAAACGTTTGTTTTCATAAAGTTTGTTCATGGTAATAAGTGTAGACTTGAGTGTGACAAGCAGCATGTTTGACTTCCTCATCTTATTGTGCTGTTGTACAGGATAAAAGGTCTAATCATATTTTATCTTTAAATATCCAGTAGGCTTTGTCCTTTGTTATGTAAAAGTAAATAATCTAATGAGATATAAAGATATAGGCCTATATAAAATGAAGTTATTTGTGGACGGGTTGCAAAAATGAGATTAGACTGTGATCTAAATACCCTAAATCAAAATAGTTAGTTTAATAAAACTGTTTTGAAATCTATACAGTTTGACTGTAATTAATTATTTCATGTCATATTTAAATATATCGCTTCATATGAATACATTTGTGTTTTTTAATGAAGATGTTCTTTTACCACCAGTCTCACAATTTAATGTAGTTCCAACATAGATTTTTACACTTTATCATGAGAGTTATTCAGCTATAATAAAGATAAAATAAGCCCCTTTTATTATTATTGTAATGAAATAAATGCATGCTGCAAAGCAAATGAAATTTGAGAGTGGAGTGGGAGAGAGGAGCAACAAAATGGTGGAGATGAGGAAATGGTGGCAGAGACCCTGTTGTAGTTGCACAATAGCCTGCTCCTAAAAGGATTTTTTACATGCTGCACTATTATCTTTTACATGCGCAAGTCAATAAAACTAATGCTAATATTACCAATACTGCTACCTGTAATAATGATAATAATAATAATAATGATAATAATAATAATAATAATGATAATAGGCTATCTTAAGTGCATCACTGCAGTGGAGTCATTTTAGTACCCTAATATTAATCAATCAGATTTATAAAGCACATTTCATATGCAGCTCTGATGTATTTTAAATGTTTAAAAAAAACTACATTATCAATTAGTTAATAGTTGGGATTGCTAATAGGCCATTATTACTTTAGCACTAGTCCATAATGTTAATAGTCTAGTAGCCTATATGTATAACAGCCTACAAATATGACTTAAGCCGTACGCCGTAGACTACCAGTCTATAGGTTTATTGCAAATTGATACAATCAAATATTTATTCCTAGTCTGTGTACCTACTCTTCTCCATCTTTCTTCGTGCAGGTGGTGATGTTGGGGAGCACCGCCGTGGCTAAAGCTCTTCTTGAGGTGGGGGCAAACCCCAATATACGCGACCCGGCCTGCAGTCTCACCGTGATGCACGACGCCGCGCGCGAAGGATTCGTGGACACTGTGCGCGTGCTGATGGACCACGGGGCAAACATAAACCTCGTGGATAAGAATGGTAACCTGCCATTGCACCTGGCCGCCAGGGAGGGCCATCTGCAGGTGGTCCGACTGCTAATTGGATACACGGCGAACCCCCAAGCGGTCAACGGCCAGGGATATACTGCCGCGCAGCTCGCGCACCGCCACAGCAGGATGGACACTGCCACATACATTCACCAGTATTTGAGCTCAAGTGAGTAGCGATATTATGTAGGCCTATTGTAAGATACTATGGTAGCCTATCTTTTCCTCTAAAAATGCTAAATTGCTGCAGCATAGGCCTTAGTGACGTACTATTCGATATGAAGTTGGGCCCTGTGTGGAGCTATATGCTGTTTCGCCAAAATATTTTTAATAAATAAAGAGTGTGAATGTTACTCCACTTCAACAAAAACAAAATGTAACAGGAAAAAACAAAACAACTGGTGTGTAGGACAGAGTTTATACGACAGAGCTCAAAGAGCTGCCGATAGGCCCATTAGCCTCGGTATTGGCTTTTATGAAGAAAATGGGTAACCTTAATTTATTCGTTAATATTTGTAAAACCAAAACCATTTGTAAAAATCCTTTAAAATTTTTCTTACTCGATATTCATGGTCACAGATGACTGGATGGGGGAAAAATAGACTACTGCATCTCTATGAGCGAGCATGCTGTTGTAGTATTAGCAGTAATGGCTAAATGTGAGTTTAAATTAGCAGTCTAATGAAGAAAACACCCCAGCGAGCGTCGTCTATTTTAGAAAATTAACTTATAAATTGAACGCATCATTAACCTTATTACTTTTTTAGCAGATATGGTAGACCTGGTATTAAACGCCTTGTCGTAATTTAACTGTTTTCCTTAGCCAATATCATTTACAGGCATACATCTCCAGCAAACCTGAATTAAATAAACACGAATATGTTGTGTTTTGTTTTAAACTACACTTAACAGCTAGCTTATTAACCCCTCTGCCCTGTGGTATCATTAGCCAACACTGTGTTGTTTGACAGCCCCATTCATGTTAGCCGTGGTGTCGCGATGAAAAGGCATCTTTACATGAATTGAATCATTTGGCCACGTCCCTTTGAAAGTGTGGTCATAACCATTCTTTCATGTTCCCATTTTTGTTTAATAAAGGTTTAGCGCTCTGATTATGATAGTTTCGATGAACAGTCACAACAGGACCACTCAAGGCTTTGACCAGAAGCTGCTGTAACGTTTTCACGGAGGGAGACAGAAGAGGGAGCTGAGATACTTTCGCTTGTGATAAACTTTAAATATGCTTCCGGTTAAGACTGGTTAAAGACAACGTTGGCGTGTCCACATGGTTATGAATAGGGTTCCTGCGAAATTTCCATGAATTAATATGTGTCAAATCAATTGAACTTCATCCTGCAAGTGACAAAAACAAGTGTGTGGCTGTGTGTGACTCTAATACAGAGGAAACGCTTATAGTGCTCACGTCTGAGTTAAATTGATCACTATAAGCGGATTATTTTAAAACAGTCATTACAATACACCCACACGGACTTCTTTATTTTTTTTACAAGCGAATTATTTACAACATATGTTTAGAAATGATTCTGTCCCTAGCTTTATGATCCATAAGTGGTTGATTACTGAAGCTGTTATTGTTATTTTTCAGCTTTAATTCACAATGTATCCATAGTGTATGTACAATACGTCTGGGCTACAACATAGGGCTGGGCTTTAGGACTGTTTGTCATCATTAATATTACACTGTTTTAAAGCTTTATTCATTTGATGACATATTTATTTAGATTTAGGCGTCAAAGACCAGACCAAGTGTGAAAATGTACAACAAAAAACAAAACAAAACAAAAAAGGAAGCAGAAAAACCAGTTCATCAGTGTGCTCCTACTGACAACTTAACATTATATACACCCATTTAGTTACAACTTGATTACTTTCTATCTAAATTAGTGCTTTAATTTTTTAGTAAATCTCAATGACAAAAATATGTTTAATTACTATTAAATAGTGCTATTTAATAAAGTAAGATGTTCATTTAACGGTCTGATTAGCTAAAACGTCTTTTAAAGAAATTTCATCCATTAATGTCAAGTTAGTCTATAGCTCAGCCATAGGTCTGCATGATTCCTATTAATGCATGTAATCATATAAATATGCGCACACGGCTGAGCTTCAGCTGAATGACCTTATTGTCACAATTTACAAACTATTTCCTCCTTAATTTGTTTCGATTTCAAAAATAGAGGAACTATTTAGAATAAAAAATATTTCCTTTAGTGTGGTGTCTTTAATATACCACCTTCTCTCTTACACTCTCTCTCTCAGGCATTTGAGCGTGTGTCAACGCGCATCCTCTGCCTGCCTGTCACACTAGCGTCTGATGAGCCGTATTGTCAATGCCCTGCTTAAAACATAGTGTGACTGCAGCATATTAATAATACACACCGATAGTATACACTGCACATTCATAGAAGGAAGTTAGTAAAATCCCTTGAAGCGGTGTGTGGGCGATATACTGTGGAGCTAGGCCGCGGTTTCATTTTCAGTTTTCTAATCTGTCTCTAAAGTCCTCTACACCTTTTTTGTGACTAAATTCGATCACCCTGTCTGCGTGCATGTGAAAAATAAACGGTTCAGTAACGATAAGGTACAATTTCACAGCTTAATTTCCCTCCTAAGGATTATGACCCTCACCTCTCATTTTCACGTGTTAAAAACACTTCAGAGCTTTGCCCAGGTGACACCGAGAGACCTGAGGTTCACTAAATGTTTCTTTACGGTCCAAAGGCCACATTTAAAAAATAACGAAAAGGTCTTTGTGTGATTTCTCGAGCGCGCAGGCCTAAAAGCCAGGCTGGGGAAGAGGTGGTCAGGTTTTTTTTCTTTTTGATTAACTAGAAAAAACTAGCAGGAGGAGTCAACCCATATATGGGCTTCAGTCCGGAAGTCCAACCAATCAGAAAGCTTGGATTGGTTGGACAGTGTGAAGAGGAGGCTGAATCATAATCAGACATGAGCTATTGAATGAGTTTGTGTGTGAAGCTAGTCAAACCTGTGAAAGCAGTTACAAAGAATTTACTATTCTGTAATTCCAGATGGACTTTTATGTGGCTTTATTTTTTCATTTATATATATATATATATATATATATATATTAGTTCAAGCTGATTATTTCCTTTGTAAAATCACATTTTGTTCATGTCTCATGATAAACAAAATGATCAGGCTTATTTTTTTCTTTTACTTTTATGGATCTGTGTGCAATAATTAAATATATACATTATCACAATCTTTATTTTTCATATTGTATCCATATTGTATCTCTCACAGACTAGAGGAGGAGAAAGAGGATGAAGAAGAGGACTTTCATTGTGATGGACTCTTGATTGTCTGAAACCGTCTTATGCTATTCTGACCTTTTAACTTGCTGATAATTTGACATTTTAACATTTTATTTTATTTTATATTTCCTAGAATGCCCCGCTTGTTATAATGCTGAATTGGCCTAATAATGAAACAGTGTGTGCACTGTTTGGATATTTACACACTTACCAACATTTACATGCTTTGGAAAGGAAAGGGGAGACCAAGCACATATTTATTGGTAAAACCTGGTAATTTGGGATAGAAAAAATAAATTATACAATACACTAATTGATTAATATATGGTTAATATACACTCTCTGGCCCCTTAATTTGGTAGAGTTATACATTCTAGTGCAATCCAGTAAAAGCTATATATATTCAATCTTTACAAAGCAATAGCAAGTTTTTGTTAAAACTTTCTGTGTTAATTCACCTGTTTATAGTTGAAATTGTAGTGATGCACTGGACTGCATTATATTCAAATGTGTTTCTTGTTTTTAAATGTGGTGGGCAAACCATTAGAAGCAACTCTCAATCTAAAGCAGTCCAGTTCAACACCACTGCATACTAGAACCTAGTAGAAGAAGAATATGCTAAACATAGTGGAATTACCACTGTCAATTATAACTGAACATTATTATCTTTGTAAAAGTAGACTGTATGGCTGAGCTGTTGTATCGCATTGCCTGTTTTTTGTTTTTTTTTTCAAAAATCTATATTTTTTTTAGGTGCAGAGAAATTTAGAAAGTCTCACTACTGCTGCTATGTTTCATTAACACTCAAAGCCAGTAACACGTGGGAGTGCTGCACACTTCAATTACTAAATCCACCTGTACAATGTGACATAAAATACAACAGTATTAAGTGTGAAGTTTATAATCGACACTACATGAAAGAAATATTAATTCAACTCATACTGCAGGATGCTGCATTTGAGAGGTGTCCCTAATAGTATGAGAGATCGTATGAGACAAAATGTTAAATAAATAAATTCCCCTCTCTCTGCTCTCTTTCTCTTCTCACTTCTTTCTCTGCTGCTTGATTAATATGACTGTGAAAACCGAAAATATTGCTGTCTTATGTAGAAAATCATACAATAAAAGACAGCAATTAATCCCAGCTTTTGTGTGTGTGTGTGTGTGTGTGTGTGTGTGTGTGTGTGTGTGTGTGTGTGTGTGTGTGTGTGTGTGTGTGTGTGTGTGTCACTTATTTGAACAATATTTGGATGAGAAAAATTACAGTGGCTTTTCCAAAATATCAATAGTCATAAACTATTTAATTTGTATTCTGGGCTATGCCAACACTGTTTTGGAACAATTTTTGCCTGAGTTCATATTAAACCAGATATTTATGTGTTTGTGTTCAGACATGCGGGGGTATCTTCTTATTTAGTTTTGTAAAATCTAGTGCTAATAGACCTGGTCCATTTATGAACTCTTGGACACAGGTGAAGATGAGCAGATGGAACATGGAGATGAATAACATCACCACCATAATGACATTTAAAGAGGATTCTATTTTTTTTAACAATAAAAATAACTTTAGAAGTATTTATATGATAATAAATAATTAAAGGTTTATTTGGTGCATGGGTGAGGCAGGTATTTTTGTGTCTGTTTTTTGTAAATATTATAGTCACATCGGAGATTAAACCCAGGCTGATAGTAATTTATGTTTAACGAAGTGAAACCACAAATTAGGCCAAGTTGTCATTTCACAAATCTGACACCATATTAATACCATATTCTGGATACCAAGGTCTAGGATGTCTTACTCCATAACTGATGTTGGCACAAACAAATGGAGACCCTCTAAATGTTAGTCATGGATGTTATGGCTGTGGTACATGGTATAAGTTCACAACAAATAACAGGAAATTCTTCCCTTTCTACTGTCTACAAAGGAAATAAATCACACCCACTGACAATTATGTTCTGTTGCAATGTCTATTTATTATTTGCCTGTAGTACATAGTATATGCATATTTATGCTTACAAAAGCACCCATACACAAGCATACAACACACATACCCCATTCACATATGAGCAAATCTTGCTGTTCAATCCTGTATTTAAAGCAAAAAAAAAAAGAAATCCAACCTAAAAGAGCACCGACATACCATTCCTTTGAGTCTGGATATTTAAATAAATAACTCTATCCTGTGGTTTCAAAGTCATACTATCATGGCCCGTGCTTAAGCAACATTCTGTGCAGCTGTTTCATTGTTCACAAACTGCTGACCAGCAGTCATCCAAGAAGTATTAACACAAATTACAGGAAATCTATTTGGGTAAAACATCTCATAAGTTAGCCACCTACATTGTGTCAATGAAGCAGCTCCACAAAGTGTCCCACTAATAAATGTACATGTAGCTTTGGGAGAGAGCTAGTCTTCACTGGGATCAGGATATGTATGCATATTCTATTTTTTGTGAGACTGATTCTTTTATTTTTTTGAGGAACAATGGCAGATACAAACACCTATACACAATGACAAGATTTAACTTTGTTTATTCACACATTCCCATTATGCATTGCATGTCCCACGCAGCCTTGATTAGATCCAGACTGAGATCGAAACTGTGCTTTCTCTGGGGGAAGGCATTTGTATCCAAAAATGTCATCCACTGTACCGCAGGACTGTTCCAAACTGCAGACGAAAGCGGTGGAAACCAGCTATGCAATCCCACAGGAATCCTTAGGAAGAGAGTCAGGTGATGTGACAGAACCCCAATCCAAACACCACAATACACTGACAATTTATAAATTTTGTGACAATGTAGGAGGACAATTTTCTTGACACACTTTGTGTATTCTTCACGACATAACATGTACAATGACTGCCAGCTCAGGAGCAGCAATTTCAGTTGAAACTGTCTGTATATAACCCTCCCCCTCCTGTTTTCTTTTAGTTTACTAGACTCCACATTTTAGCAGCTGATACTCACAGGTAACCTAAGGCCTTTAGGCTCCACCTTACTGATGGAGGACAATGTACAAGAAAGAGTTAAGTAGATTAAAGTACTGTGCAAAAACTAAGGTGCTGACTGCCAGCTCACACAAAGGTCATAAAGCCTTGCACAAACACTCACACAGAGATAAACACACACACATACACACATCACTAAAAGGCATGTTTTCAAATTGTGTTGGATCTGTATCATGTCCGCTGAGCAGGGGGAGTTTAAATGATTTAACTTTTCCTGCATAATTCAAAATCTCACCGACTCACCTGCATGCCAAAGGTAGCAGGGAGAAGGAAAAAAAAAATTGAACCTTTGCATGTTTTTGTGCTTTTACCAACTGGGTGACTTAGGCGATAGACATTTTAAAATGTGGCAAGGAGATCATTTAGATAGAGGCCTCATCTTGAGATGAAGAAAATAGTGAAAAAAATAAAAAGTAAAGAGATATATCCTTTCTAAACTGGGAACTTATAGTCAGTTTATTGTATAACTGCTGATTCTGACCACATCAGGTAAATAAAAATCCTCAGTCATATTCAATGACACACAACCCATTACCAGATTCATTCTGCATTATCACTGTCCTGATGGTGACACCTGACATCTTTAACCGTTTCCCCTGTTAATGTTTGCTTTAGATCTGGTAGGTCCAGTTTTCTGGACAGTTTTTTTTACGGAAGAAGATGAAGCGATAATTCATATATATATGCAAATATATTAAATGAGCCCAACCAAGTGTATTTTTTTCATTTTGTTATTGTAATTTGTAATTTTGTCCTTAAAATTACATGTATTGGACAGTAACAGGGGAAGCAACCATAGGATTAATTCAGTAGTTTGGTTAATGTCTCCAGTAATGAATCATGCACCCACACCTGGTTTAGAGACGGAGTCTTTCATTAAAAAATTAGAGTTGTTCCAATACCAATACTAGTATCGGAAATGCCACCGATACTGCTTAAAAAACGCTATCAAGTATCAGCGAGTACTCAAGGCTATACACCGATCCGATACCACATAATTTATTAATAAACACTCAGATAGAATGGCAGTTTTGCCAGAAATGAATTCTTCTTTGCTGCTCTAAAACAGTAGCTTAAACAGGAAGTTGCGCTGTGCAGCCACTAGCAACTACTGTTTTAGCATGGTGAGGAACTGATTTCCGGTAAACAGTGTAACATTAGCCATTAGCAAAATGTAACTTTGCAATTTGGCAATATGTTACACTGTTAAGTCCCACTAGTAAAAAGGCAACATGTACAATATGCAAGGCTTTAATTTTGAGTTGTGGCACTAGTCTTAGGACAACTAGTGTAGGAAATGTTATTTATTTCAGGATTTATTATGATTGAAATTAGATAATAAAAGAAAGATTCTATGGCATTCATACATCAGTTCATGTTTTACAATGGGTTTAACCTGAGCTATGCCATACAATAATGACATTAATCATATCACACCCATACAGGTAGGCTTAGTAGTAAACAGCTACAACATTTTTTTAATGCAATGGTACCGGATCAGTCCTCGGTATTGGCCGATTTCCCCAAATTCAGGTATCGGAATTGGTATTGGGAAGGAAGAAATGGTATCGGAACATCTCTATTACAAACCATAGCAATGGTAATGAAAATGTAGCTAAAACAAATCACATACTTCACTTTGACATAATTACTAAATGCATATGGTCAACTCTTGTCAAGTCTGATTAAGAAGTGCAAATATCTCTGATTTGTATTAATGTTTTGTTAACTAGTCTACTTGTGCTTTGGCCAATAATCTGCAATCTCACTGTGACTGAGAAAGTCATGAGAGGGTCAAAAGCTTGATGGTAACAGTCTACCAGCTATCCATCACATTAGTGACTAAAGCACATACAGTATTTTCCTTTGAAATGTCTGTGTTGTTAGTAAACACTGGTTCAACTGAGCCCTTATGCTGACTGACAAAACAAACACAGAACAGATTTCACAAAGCCACAGGACATTCGATCAATCCACCTACCAGTCTTATTTTTCTCATAAGAGATCTGTACAGACAGAGAACTGGAGACCCAGGTGCTGCAGGCCTGTGGTATGTCTGCAGAATACATCTGATGGTTGCAGTCTTACGCCTGATGTCCATATCTAGCAGTCTTCATTTGTAGCAATTTTTGCAGCAGATATGAATCTGCAACAACCGCCTGGCAGATATTCTGTCGGACACTTTTCTTTGTATTGCAGTGATATGATAGTAATCAGGCTTCAGCAGTCCAAGAAATACAATCTGCAGCCTGATGATGGCAGTCAGATGTCCTTCCTTCTGCATTCTGATATGATTCATTTCAATGCTTGGAAGGAAGTGAGAGACTGGGTATGCTTTCATGTGTAGTCACATTCACAAAAGTGGTTTCTTAATCATACCAGTTAACCGTCATCCATTCCCCGTGACTTCCCTTTACTCTTGTATTATCACACTCCCCCCTTGTCAGCTCTTGTCTTTTGTTCTTTTCCTCCATCAAGCTACTTCCTGCTCGTCCTTAACACAAGCACTCTGTCCTTTCCCAGATGCAATCCTGTCCAGCAGGCCAACTGAGGAACTTGTGTATGTGCACAAACACACACGCACGCACACATACACGCACACATGCACGCACACAAACACAAACACACACAAACATGAGAGGTCACCATAATTCTACATGATCACTGCTTTCATATCCCCACTTTACTAATCCAGGATACAGTGTGCATACTGTATGTGTGTGTGTGCCCAGTCTGGGCCACAGGTGTCTGTGGGCATGTGTGTGTGTGTGTGCGTGTGTGTGTGTGTGCGTGTGTGTGTCTGTTTGTGTCAGTTGGTCTCGTAGGAGGAAAGCAGCGCAGCGTCCACAGGTTCCATGCAGGAGGGACAGGTGAAGGATCTCATCAGCCAGTCATCTATACAGTCCATGTGGTAAATGTGCATGCAGGGCAGGAACCGGATGGGGTCTCCATAAACAAAGTCCATCATACAGATGACGCACCTGCACAGGAGAACACAAAGCCACCAATACTCATTATTTCCCATTATACTATAATTTGATAAGGATTGGATAACTATATGTATTGGATATCTTGTCACTTAATTGATCTACAGTGCATTATTCCATTTCAATTATAATGAAGGACAATGAGCGCTTCTGCAAAATACAAAAAGAGCACATCAGTCAGATTAACCTCTTCATAGGCATTCAGTGATAGGAAAAATATAATTCTCATGGCTTTAAGCTTTACCATTTGCGACCTTCGACCTGTTATAAACACACATTATAGTATGTATTATTTAAGCAATATCACATGAGAGGGAGTGATGTTGTACTGAATATCAGTGGCTATGATTCGGTCATAGGTACAAGGACGCAGGCAGAGTTCCGAAGACAATCACAGCCATGCTGATAACTGGACTGGTACTGAACTGTTGCTAAGCAACACAAACATTTTCCTGACCTGCACAGTGAACACTAGCTTGCTACTTTGTCTACAAGTTACCTGAGGTGCGCGCTGAAGTATCAAGGCTTCGTCCCTTCATCCTCTTCTGACGACCATACATAATTTAATTCAAATGTTATTTCTGGATATATATTCATCTTTCCCATGTTTGTTACAATCTAAGACCGATAATGACCGTTAATGTAGTGCTAATTAACGGTTAATAGAACACCTGTAAGGTGTGATACATGTGGTTAAAAGTCCCAGTGCTGTTATATTCTATATCAGCACTCATGGAATGCCTCTCGTCCAATGAAATTACTTGGTTTGAACTAGCTGTTGTATAAAAATATATAATACATGTGTACACATTACTTTCAGAGAATTTATCTAAAATGCCACAACATGTCATTAAAATATCATAAAAATATCTGTGCTACAGTAATGCATGCACACTACTATTGACTGAGGTAAGTTGACTCATGACATAATTTGAATTTATCTGCATATGAAAACACCATCCTGTGTGAAAGTTTAAGTTATTAAACTTTATAGGTGGTTACATTTTCTCACTACTCAAAAAAGAGGAAAAATGATTTGAATGCAATTGTTTTAGAATCTATATTAGGGATTAGTTTTTTTTTCCTGTTTTCAGAATGTTAATTTTGTTAAATCCAGCTTAAGCATATTAAAGGCCTCCAAAACCTCTTCTTAAATACAGATCACTGTGTTCCCTTGTTGTTCTAAAAAAAAGAAAGAAAAGATAACTGCTGAGTCTGACCACCATGGGTTTCTACTTACTCTCTGATCTTCTTCTCAGAGCCATCCCGCCCTAGGTCATACACGCCCTTCGGGAGGTGCTGGATGAGCCCGATACGCTGGGCGATGCGAACCTGCTCTTCCTCTGTCAGCTGAGTGGCCAGTCGCGCTTGGCTGGGTGTTGGGTGGTAGACAGGCACATGGATCTGCTCCTGCAGAAAGAAAGAGAGGAGACCACATTAAAAAAGTAAATCCTAGTTTTGCAAATACCTTAGAGTCCTATAAAATGAAATTTGTGTATCGGGGAAAGTAGATCTCAGAGGGGAGGACTTACAGAGATACACAGTATAATACACAGAAAAAAATCATCAGGCATGATTACTTACCACTTCATGCAATCGCCTCACTGAGAAACTTATTTCCGTTTTGTCCAAACCATCTGCTGTTCTCACACTACAGCTGCAGTACAGTTATGGCCAAGTTTACACTTCTGAATAATAAGTGTTAAGAGTTGGTTGGAGGTCTGGTTTAGAAGAATTTAGCAATACACTGCAATAACACTAATGTTCTGGTTTCATAAGACCTGTTTACCAAATCTCTCTTCAGCCCTAATTCTACTAGTGTGAGAGGTGACTTTAACAAAAGCAGAAGATGTTGTTCTTGTTATCACTTTCGGTGGAAGTCAAGCCGGGTCTAGCAGATGAGCCACAAGCTTATGAAACTTTCTTTTGATTTTGGTACAAACATGTTCTGTTGAGTGGGATATAAATGTTTATAGTAATACTGATTGATGGAATAATGTCACCACTTGCCAACACAATACTGGTAGGCATTACTGCGTAAATCCCTCAGACTGAAGGCTGGATTTCACTACACAATAAAGCATTCAGTTGACTGTAAGAGTTACACAATCCAACACATATTATTTATTTGAATAAATAATTATCCCACTCAAAAAGAAGGCCTGTAGCTTTGAAATGCTCATAGTAGCTATCATTGATAACTGATTGATCAATGATTAATTACAAGTTAACAATATTTCTGACTATGTTGTGGGATTATGATCTCAGGCAGTAGGTGGTAGTGTTTCCCACACCTTCCAACAGCTGATGCAGCAGTGAGGTACGTGGCCTCTTCTACCTGACTGAAAATGCACTGTTGATGCCATACAGAATTCGATCACCGCAGCATAGAAGTGTAAAGTTTAAAGTGTGATGGATGATGACTCTCTGGAAAAAACTCTCTGAATGCGTCATGTAGGAATTGATATGCCACTATCAACATAACTGTGATGTCACTATAATCCAAACAGTTTGCTAATCTTTCAGATTTGCTAAAAAATCTCTCCAAAACAACCATTTTATATGGCCCAGCCTAAAATTCTACTCTTCAAAGGGCGGAAAATTGATGCTGGCCGGCAGCAAACTTCAAAGCAGCCAAAGCCTCCCTGTCTTTCTAAACTTAGGTCAGCAGAAATCTGAATGTAAAAAATGACAAGTCGAGGTTATTTCATTATATCTGTCCAGTGTTTTAAATACTGATGCACAAACCACATAAGTAGAGGTTTATAGTGAAATGAAAGTAACATCATATCAAAGTGAGTAACAGGGTTTCAGTATCAGACTATAATGCGTCAAACAAAAAGTCATAACATTACCAAACCCAAAACCTATACTGTAACCCTAATCTATATAATACTGTATATTACACTAATCAAGATATTTTGTCATAGAGAAACCTGAGTACCTGGGAGGAAACCCATGCAGGCACGAGAAGAACATGCAAACTACAATCTAGGAAATAAACTGCAGAGTAAGTAATAGTGTAAATAATTAATCAATTAATAGTGTAAATAATTGTTAGCTGCAGCAATGGACGATAAATTCACACTTTTACTTCATAACATTAAAGCTCTAACATGCTTTAGTTACCTGAAAAAACTGTCTGTGAAAAAATAAAGCTTTTCAAGAAATGGCAATAGTATGAGAGATTGATCTACATGGTTTTATCTGTTCTACAGTAGTGCAAGCCAACTTTATATCCTTGAATTAAGAGATTAATTTTAAATGTTAACATATAGCAAACAGCTGACATGAATACAGGGAAGAACAGATGCACCTAAACTTTGGTTCTCTGTCTTGTGTACTACCTTGGTCTCTCATGTCTTCCTCCACTCTAAAGACAGCTTTCTGTTGACTCAACTCTCTCACTTTGTGGTCTGTGACTGTGCCTCAGCCTCATCCACTTCCTTCATTCTCTTCCTCACTCTATCCTATTACTTTCTCATTCATTCACTACATTGGTGGTGTGTGCACTAGTTTCTCTTCTTCATCCCTGAGCCCATGCTTCAGTCCACCAACTTTCTCCTTGTCTTCCTCATGTGTGCCAAACCTTCACATTAGGAAACTGAAAGGATCCAACAGCCAGGTCATGGATTACGCTAAGGCCACTCTAATGCCATTAAGTGAGCTCTCTCATTAACCACCTGTATATCCACACTCCACAGGGTGACCTTTTGACACAAAGCACCACACACCTGAATGAAGCTGGAGATCAGACTGGTGGTAGCAGGAAAGAAACCTAAATGAACCTTCTAATAAGGATTTCATCAGACAATGTTCTGTTTACTAGCTGCACTCTCTGATCTGCCTGCACAGAATGGCATTAACTACTGAACTAAGCCTTGGTGTGAGGCGGAGGGGTAGGCATGAAACTCAAATTACTCTCCATTTCCTTCTTTCATTTTGGCTGAATGGTAGTAGGCCAGGCTTATGAGTCAATTCTGACACAAGCGACAATAACATGCATATAAAGGTTACATGTTTATGCTTTGCTCGGCATGCATTATGTTTCTGAGCATACAAACCTTACCACAGTTGACATGACGGTGAGTAAAAAACAACTTTTTTGCGTCAGTTCTTTGGACAAAAAAACCCTCTAATCTGCACTACACTGATCTTATACATCAAAGTGATTTAACTCATCATGACGAGCCCCACTGTTGTGAAAATGGTTGTATAATGTCGTCTGTGGCTCTGGAGGAGTTTTCCCAAGTCTGAAAAAGTAACCAGATGATGTCATCGGGGTCATCTCAGGTTGGGGTATGTGTTACAAATTGGAGGTGTGGCGTTTGAAAGATTTGGGTGTTAATCTGGCATGAGGGGTCTAACAAAGGATGATACCTGAGTTGCATTGTGGGAAATGTAGGATGCAGTTTTCAAGTCTGACCCATACAAGGGACTAAAAGTCAGGATATCTTGGCTTCTGCTGCACACAATTGTTTGTTTTTTTTCAATCTGTCTCTTGCAAGACCCCAACTTTATAGAAGTGCAATACTAATTAATTGGAGTAGTCCTTTAAGTGAAGCAAGGCATGTAGTTTAAATTACATTAAAGCTGCAATGCCAACAGCTGACAGAGCCTCTAGTGTCTCTATTCAGAGGTTGTTTTACCTTGTTTTTGTAATGGTGAATATGACTATCTTATCTCATCTTTCCAGATAAATTATAAAAGTTAAATGATGAAGAAGGAGATAATACTGTCATTGTCAGGCCTACAGATGTGAGCTGAAAAACACGATCAATATTTCTCAGTCACAGAGAATGCAGACAATGTGCCGTCATTGGTGAGGTCATCATAGATATAATAAAGATACATTATTTATGCAATAGTAAGCATAATGGGCACAGAAGCCCATTTTAAACAAAGTCTCATTTAATTCTTGAAAAGCTATATTTTGAAGTTGAATGGTTTTCATGGGAAAAATTCAGAATAACAAATGACCAAGTTAGCTACAATCAGCCTCCCGGCACACAGCACTTTAAGCCATGAGTCAGCATAACTTTAGTAGTTGAGGCAGTCTGCTGCTCCCCTGACAGCCACTCCTTTTACCATGTCAAAAAGAGATGGCAGCCAGGCAGCAGGAATAAAAGCTACAGACAGGGCCTCAGAGGGGGGCAGCAGCTGTACTCTGTGTGTGTGTGTGTGTGTGTGTGTGTGTGTGTGTGTGTGTGTGTGTGTGTGTGTGTGTGTGTGTGTGTGTGTGTGTGTTAGGATGGTCAAGTGTGCAGTGGTCAGCAGTGTTATTGTTGTCATATGCCTCTCCCTTCTTTCATAGATGGCGTGTCAGCTGGGCTGTGACAACTGTTCACTATGTGACCTCAGACTGACCAGAAGGACAACAGTTAGAGAGATGGAGAGTGAGACAGGGAGAGAAGGAGAGGTTGAAAGGGTGGCGAAGGGAGGGGATGGAGGGTGCAGGGCGGTGGCTAACTGAGCCAAAGTACAGACCTTGGTTTCCTCTGCCAAACATGCAGGCACACAGCAGCAGAAACTGTCAGCCTGCCAGGCCAGGACTACCAATGGTGAACAGGAAGGGAGGTGAAGCTTATAGGCAGCAATGAGGACAGACACACACACAGAGTAAGTGAAAGAAAGACTAATAGAGTGGGGAGGCATTTACCCCCTGTCTTCCATCATCCATCACTAATTGAAAGAAGAAAGAAGAGTGGGAAAATGGAAGATAGAGGCACTCTCTGCCCACAAGTTCAATAACATCCTAGATTCTCCCCAGAGCCAGATGTGTGTTATTTATGCTTATGTGTGTGGCCATGTGAGGAGGGGAAGGAGGGGAAAATGGGTTGGAGCCACACAAGACCCTTTCACTTGTAACATTAACATTTCAATTATCCAGGCAAGGCAATGTTTTTTGGCATTTGGACACAGAACTCCTATAAAGAGATATTCAGCACTATTCCTGCATTAAATGACCACTCCAGACAGATGTGGCAAGATTTTCTACTCACTGGAGAACAGCAACAAGCTGCAAAATGACAACAGAAAAGGGGTTCTGAATACTCAAGACAAACTACCTAATGTACAGATTTTGAATCTATGGTGACTTGAAAGTTTGTATTTTAATAATTCTCTTATTTATCATTATTCAAGTTCCCTAATGCAGTGTACTTCATTGGTAAAAAGTTTCACAACCGGAGAAAAATATCACACCCTCCACAGAACCTTCTCGTACCACTCCCACAGTTAAACCCATGTCACGCTGACCACGATTCAAGCCCTGTTCAGACTTGGTATCAACAACCATCTGAGCATATCTGATCACAAGTGGGCAGCTTTAAGTACAGGTGTGAACACACCCAAGACACATTTAAGACATATTTGAGATTTGATCTCTAAGAACACATTCTGGTCTGGGC